GAATACCTCTCACGGCTGTTGTGAATATAAAATGGGGTAATATTTGCAAAGTGTTTTGTAAACCTCAAAGTGTTATGTAAATGCTAGCTACCATATTATTAGGCTGCGATTAGGCATCGGAGGGGGATGCTAGTGGACAAGTTAATAATAATAATAATACTATTTTACAACATTGTAAAGACAAACAACTTGGAAAGATTTAGAAACCCTGTTCAATGCCATGACCAACCCACAGTTTCAGAGAACTCATAATGAAATATGTTACCCACCCTCTTATAGATGACTCAGAGCGCGGATAAAGATCTTGGGTTTTTTGCTATGTGGCCAATGAAAGTTATTTTTGTTTGTTTTGGTTTTTACTATGCATGTTTGTAACTGGTTTTGTTTTTCTTGCCTTCTTAATGTGGGGATGGGCGAGGGAGAAGAGGGAAAGAGAAAAGGAGGACCTGAAAATAAAATTTTAAAAAATAATGCTGTTTTTATCTGAACCTCATTGAAAAAGATGAAAAGAGTAAGATGATTATAATGATAGGGATAGTGACCAGATCTGGGATTTCATTGGTCTAGGGAACTCGCTTAGAGAGTAGCTGGGGGCATCTAGAAGTTAAGTGACTTGCCCAAGGTCACACAGTCAGTATGTGTCTGAGGTGGGACTTGAACCCAGATCTTGCAGGTTTAAAGGCCAGCTCTGTATGCAATATGTCAATCTGCCATGATGATGATAAGGATGAGGATGAGGATGATGACGACGATGACGATATTAAATTAGCTCATATTTATGTAGCATTTTGCAAAGCACTTTCCTGCTATTTATTTACTTTAGTAGAGAGGTTCTTAACCTGGAGTCCATGAACTTAAAATACGCACACACACACACACACACCCCTATATACATCTATATACACACACATATACACATACACATATATATACATATATGTGTATATCTTGATAACTATTTCAATATAATTGGTTTCCTTTGTAATCCTTTGTATTTTGTCATGTATTTAAAAGCTTATTCTAAGAAGGGCTACATAGGCTTTACCAACCTGCCAAAGGGATCCATGACGCAAAAGAGAAGTTAAGAATCCCTTGTCCTGGGGCAGCTAGGTGGTGCAGTGGATAGAACACTAGCCCTGGAGTCAGGAGGACCTGAATTGAAATCCAGCCTGAGATATTTACTAGCTGTATGACCCTGGGTAAGTCATTTAACCCTGACTGCCTAAAAAAAAAATCTTTCATCCTAGAACAATATTGGCTCTCTGCATTTCTTCCTTTATCAGATGCTTAGGATGTTTTCTGCTGTGTGCAGGGTGCTGTGCTGTGTCCTGGAGATGCAAAGATGAGAAATCATAGATCTGACTCCCAAGAAATTACAATCTGTTAGGAGGATAAGATGTGTATACAAATAGCACCAATAAAAGGGAGAGTGAGCTTAGTGCCAAAGAAAGATTCAGGGAAAGTACTAAGAGAAAACTGAAGGGGGAAAGATCACTTTTACCAAGGAAGGATTGTGTAGGGGAAGGCTGATGGGGAAGAAAGGAGTGTGGTTCAGAGAATTCAACAAATATTGATTAAATCCTGCTAGGTAGTAGGAATACAGAAAAGGAAGGAAGGAAAGGAAAGAAGAGAGAAAGGAAGGATGGAAGACAGATAGAAAACAAGGAAGAAAAAGATGAATCAATCCCTGTTCCTAAGGTGTTTGCATTTTACTGAAAATTGAGTTTCACGAAGAGGCTGTTATCTAAATGGGCCTAAGTGTGCCCTTGAAGAAGAGTAGGGGAAAAATAGGGTAAGGCAGGATGAGAGCCAGGGATGGTAAAGAGCAGTCCAGCTTGGGTAGGATGTAAAGTACTTGTTTGTTTTTAACAGTTTTAAAGTACATGCGCTTAATATTTTTCATGCTTTTTCATGGTAAGGAGGAATTGTGAGGGAGAAGAGGATCTTCGTTTAAGAAAAAAAATTAAAAAATAAGTACATGAGAGAGAGTGGTTTAAGACTGTCAACTTTGGTGCAGTGGGTAGAGCTCTGGCCTTGGAGTCGGGAGGATGTGAGTTCAAATCCAGTCTCAGACACATGACACTTACTAGCTGTGTGACCCTGGGCAAGTCACTTAACCCCAACTGTCTCACCAAAAAAGCAAAAAAAAAAAAAAAAGACTGTCAGCTGGATGGAACCATCCTCTAACCTGTGAGTGGCCAGACTCAAACAAGCAGAGCACTCTAGAGACAGGAGAGTCAGCACTCAAAACAGAAGTTTAATTAATTTCAGAGTGAGGAAAATGACATACGCATATGGAAGCCCCCCCCCCCCCCCATGGAGCAGGGCTTAACATGCTGGACTAAAGGCAGGTCTTACATGCATCCTGGGCTGGACAATGACATAATCATTGCTAGGTTTTGAGTTATCGTTCCCACGGGCCCTGTGGGAACAGTATTGTCTCAAGTCCTGGGAGTCATGCCCACCCTGCAAGGTATAGAACCAGAGTTCTGTGATGGGAATAGGAGTGTAGCACCCGTCAGTGATATGGCATAGGGATTATGAATATATGATGGATGGCCCTGGGAAATAGAGAGAGCTAAATCCCTCAGTGAACACCTGGTGCTGATCCAAGGAATACACTTTGCCAGAGCTTCGTATCACATAAAAGGATTATTCTTAATCCTGCTTATTGGGCCTTAGCTCTTGGAAACAGGGTATCTCCAAAATATTTTGACAAGATAAAGTAGATTGTTGTCAAAACTATCCATGGATTGTGGGGGTCTTGAATGCTGGAATCAGAGTCTACTACACTTTTTCCTGGTAGGAAAGGAAAGCGGAGGGGCAGCTAGGTGGCACAGTGGATAAAACACTGGCCCTGAAGTCAGGAGGACCTGAGTTCAAATCCGGCCTCAGACCAAACACTTGACACTTACTAGCTGTGTGACCCTGGGCAAGTCACTTAACCCCAATTGCCTGAGGGGGGAAAAAAAGAAAAGAAAAGAAAGAAAAGAAAAGGACAACAGCCTGATGGGAAGGCTATTCAGGCAAAATGAATGAGTTGGAGAGGGGCTAAACTGGAGATAGGGAGACCAATTAGGAAGGAGATCGTTGCAGTCACCTAAATGAGAGGACAGGATAGCTTCTTCTCTGGTGGTGGCGTGTGAATAGAAGGGAAGGGATGGAGGTAGCAGAGATTGTGGAGGTAGAAGCTATAAGACTTGACAGCTAATTAGAAGTTGGAGGACTAGGGAGAGAGAAGAGTCAATGTCTGAGGCTTGGAGTCTGGGTCGCTTAGAAGACAGTGGCTGGTGCCTGTCAGATGTGGGGAAGTTGGGGGAGGGGCAGTTTAGTTCTTGAGGTGTTGGATTTGAAGTTCTGGAAGAATAATCCAAATTCTTGGAAACGTGGGCATGACACGGTGGAGATATGATGGGACCGGTGATGCAAGATCATAGGATCCTAAGTCTGGAGATGAAAGGGACCTTCAAGGTTATCTAGTCCAATGCTTTCATTTTATAGTTGAGAAAACTGAGACCCGGAGAAGTTAAGGGACTTACTCAAGGTCACACAGGCAGTCAGTGGCAGAGCCAGGATTTGATTGCAGTTCTCCAAGTCCATTGTAACACATTAAATCTGTTTGGCAGTCAGCTACAGGGAGGTGATAATGGAAGCCATGGGAGTGAATAATGTCACCAAGGTAGAGAATATAAAGAGATGGGAAGGCTTAGGACTGAAGCTTGGGAGCCATCCATGTTTGAGGAAGGGGAGGAAGAGGAAGAAGAGGAGGAAGAAGAGGGAGGAGGAAGAGGAGAAGGATGAAGAAGAGGAAGAGGAAGAAGAGAAGGAGCAGAAAAAGGAGGAGCAAAAGTCAAAGAAGTGGTTGTCAGAAAGGTAGGAGGAGAAGCAGGAGGGAATCATGTTACAAAAGCCAAGGAAGGAGGGGGTATTTCGAAGGAAGGGACAGTCAGGTGGGATGAGAACAGAAAAGATGTCACTGGATTTAATGGCCAGGAGGAGGCCTAGCTTTGAGAGAGCAGTTTCATTAATGATGGAGATGGAAGCCATCTGACTTCTTTTTTTATCCAAAGCCCATATTAACGTTGAAGCATTACCAATTTTCGATCAATCAGAAATTCTAGCTTTGTTCTCTTATACGTTCGATCTTAACTTGCTGTGGATCTAATCAGTTACACTTATTGATCACTCTATTTTAAAACTTGTTTTTAGAAGTTATTTTTATAGATAATAATTTATTTATGATAACTCATTTTTTTTCAATCTCATATTACATGTATCTACTTGGTGCTCCATAAACATTGTACCAAGCCTTCACCCCAAAGCAGGAACATTCTGACCTGACTTTCACCTTCACCTGAATCCAGTCTCCAAATTCAATCACTTTGTAGTAATGTTGGAAAGAGCATTAGACTGGGTATAGGAGATGAGTTCTAGAAACGGCCGTGCCACTAACCTCACTGTGTGACCCTTAGCAAGCCTTTTCTTTTTTTTTTTTTCAGCCTTTTCCCTTCTCTGGGCCTCTTCAGAGGGAGGGGGGGTAGATTGGGTGGTGTCTAAGAAGCTCTTCGTAGCTCTAAATTCTATAATCTTGTGATTCTATAAATGGTTGTGTTACAACCACCCTTTTTCTTGTGCCTCTCCTTGGAGAGAAAGTCTGGAATCTATCTCAGTATATCCAACACTCTGGTAACCTTGAGGATTGGCATAGTTCAGCAGCTACCAAATACTATGATTTGAGGAATACTGAGAAGGTCCTCCAGTTCTTCAAATCTGTCCCCTATTAGCCTGCCCCACTTCCTGAAACTCTCATGTGGGTCTTTTGGACCTTGAAGGTGTTTTGGACTTCCAGTCCCTTACAGATAGCCCTGGAAGGGGCAAGACTTAGAGCCGTTATCAATTGTTAAGGCCTTGGAGGTAGAGTTTAGTTACAGACAATTGTGAACATGGTTCCCTGGGAATGGAAACTGGAGGGGAGGAGGGAGGAAGGAGATCGTACATACCCAAACCCAGATTTCACCAAATTGACTGCTTTGCCGAGGGCTGGAGCTTGTCAGCTGTCTGCATGGGCTATGGTTCGCCTCACCAGCTGAGAAGACCCTCACCACCTTCATCATTCTGATGGATCCAGTTATTACCGGTGGTAGTTTACTACTCAGCTCAGATGTGGAGAGAGTATTGGGTCAACAGAGCCCAGCCAATGAGCAGCCACATTTATTTCATCTAAATAGTGTCTCCATGGCCAATGTCAAGTCTTGAGATGCTGATATAGAGAAGTGTCCCTTTACCCTTCAGTAAAAAAGGGGTCTTCCTGAGGTCCCTCTGTGGTGGTGGTGTATGTGTGTGTGTGTGTGTGTGTGTAAGAAGTCAGTAATCAGAGTATGAGAGGAAAGTTAGACTTTACCAGGTAAAAGCAATGGCTGGTGACCTTTTGACCCAGGAGCTTTGAAGAGGAAGGAAGGTATCTGTAAGCTGGGGCATCTAAATCCTCCCCTACCTCTTATAGCACGTGTTTGATGGGAAGACGGAGGCAACTCTGGTGTCCATCCACAGTCCTTTGGCTTAATAGAGTTGGGCTTAGTAAATCTCTTCCACTTGAATTGTTTTGGTGTATTCTCTTTAGAAATGTGCTTTAACCCCAGTCTCTGAAATGCCTGTATTTCTGTACCAGCTTTCCCCTTTACTAGACAATGGATGCAGTTTCTCTTCGGCGAGATAGCAAAGAGAGGACAAAACATTGGGATTGTCACTCTTGCCCTTCATAAAAAGCTAACCCAGGTGAATATGGTGAGGATGGGGTTATGGCACACTGGGAGTATTCAGGACGATGGATGTGTGGAACAGGAATTCTGTCCAGAAAACAAAGTAAAAACAGCCTCTAGGCTGTTTCACAGCTCAGCGATGGGGAAATCTCCTGGGAGCCAGAGCTGTTTGCCCAGGGCCTGGTAGGGCCAGCCTCTAGCATGGGAACTGTTGCCACATTCATGTTCATTGCCTGCAAAGCTGTGACCCGTGGAGAGACAATTGGGCTGTCTGTCTCGGTGGTACAGGATTATTCCTTCCACTCTGTCCTTCCTCAGTGTCCCTCGGTGACTGTAAAGGAAGAATAGTTCCTGATATTGGCCAAACATCTTTTGCTCAGGATCCAAGAGGGGATTTGCAGGGGACGAGCATGTGCGTTCTCTGCTCAAGGTCCTCATTATGGTGCTAAAATACCCGGATTTGACCTGCCTCCCCCAAAGAAAGAGGAGCAGGTGGGGCTGAGAGGAGCAGGAGATGAATCATTCCGCTCAACCTTGTGGAAAAGGGAAATTGCGTTTTCCGTTGTCAGTGAAAGGCGGCCCCAGCACAGAGGCATCATGGCCTAGCCCGACCGGTTAAAATAACACCACCAGCAAAGGACTGTGCAGCTAGATGACAAAACTCACCTCTGCTCAGGGGGCCAACGGTCCTGGGTCTGGCTCTCCCTCTCCATCTTTCTCACCCACACGCCTGCGCAGCCCTGTGCACGCAGGCACACGCTCTCCCTCCCACGCTTGGTCTTGAGCAAGCTGCCTAGGCTGGGAGACATTCACAGAAACAGACGGGAGAATAGGCTCTTCATTATTATGCAGGAGGGGCCCCCAGAAGCATCAGGCTGCCCCAGAGTCTGTCTGAGGCAGATGAAGGAAGCCTCCCTCCTCCCCTCCCCCAGTAAAGGCGGCTGGGGTGGGGGAGGGACTGCATGGTATGTGTAAATCTGGGGTAGCAGGACCTGGCATTTTCAATCCTGCCTCAGCTATTTGTCCTATATACATAGGTGCATACACAGAGACTGTGTATATGTATATGTATATGTATATGTATATGTATATGTATATGTATATGTATATGTATATGTATATGTATATGTATATGTATATGTATATGTATATGTATATGTATATGTATATGTATATGTATATGTATATGTATATGTATATGTATATGTATATGTATATACACACACATACACGTACATATAGGCATATATATATACACATGTACACACACCATACCACACCTATATACATGCACATGTACGCACAGAGGCACACAAACACAAATATATACATACACATACTCATACATGCAATATATACATACATTCATATTGACATACATACACTTACATATATGCACACACATACACACATATATACACATCTATATGGACAGATGTACACATAGATACACATATACACACATACTCTTATATATGCACACATCGACATATATGCACTTACATTTTATGTGGACACATATACATAGATCCATATATGCATATGCATACGCAGACACATAGACAAACATACATATAGACACAGAAATACATGCATATACATAGATATATGGGCACAGATAAAAGCACAGACATATATATGATATACACATGTACATACATATATTATTCACATATACACATATATACACAGATACACCTATCCACATATACATGTATATATGACACACACATGCATGTAAGCACACATATAAACACGTGTACACACATGTTCTTCCTCTTTAAAGTGAGGAGATTGGATAAATGGTCTCTAAGGTCCCCCCCAGACCAAGAAAGAATGAATGAGTTTTTTGTGTTCTGTGAATCTGCTGGTTTCTGTTCTAGCATTACAAGCAGAGGGTTGGTCATCCCACTTGGTCTTTTAAGGACCCAGGGACCTGGAGTTCACAGAGCTAGGTTCAGATCCCATCGCTGAACTTGACAAATGATATGACCTTGGGTAAGTCGCTTGATAACCTCCATAAGCCTCAGCTTCCTGTGAAGCCATCTCTTCCCTATCAGGAAGGGGAACTCTGGGCTGAAGGTGGTCAGGACAAAGGCACTTGCATTATTCTCACTGGAGATGGCATCTCCTGTGTGAATAATAGCAAGAAAGCCATTATCAAATGAGATTATGTTTGTGAAGTGCTTGGCAAACCTTAAAGCACTATCAAAATGTTAGTTAGTATACATGTCATTATCACAGAGCTCACTCCCTCATGAGATAATCCATTCCATTCTAGAACAGCAGATTGTGAGAAATGTATTAAATTAAGCTTAAGTAGACTTTCCTACTACATATTCTTAGTTTTATGCTTTCATGCCAAGAAGGAAAAATATTTGAGAAGTTGGAGATGTGAGTTCTTTTTTCACTCTGGAAGTAATTTGCTGTGTAACTTGGGAACAGTTTCTTCCATGGCTGGGCTTCAATTTTCTTGTTCCTAAAATGTGAGGGGACTAACTGGCTTCTAAGGAGAATTGTAACTAAGGGAGGGTGAGTAGGGCTTTGTCCCAGAACCCCGATATAAAGGGGGGGGTGTTTTCTTCCCACACAGTCAGTCCTCTGTCCTGGCACTCTGGCTTCTGGTTTCTCTTTGTCCTCTGTGATCCCCATGTCATGTGGTACTGCTCCTGAAAGTCCCATTTCTTCCCCAGGGTCCAATTTTTCCCCACCTTTTCCCCCTCTGCTCTTAGGATTGATTTGTGGAATGCTGGTCACTGGCCATGCCACAAAGGCTGGGCTGGACTGTATAATAGGCAGGCCATCCCTTCTGCTAGCATAACCATGAGCCACCCTTTTCAAACTGAACTTGCTCCAGGTACCAGAATTCCGAGTTCTACCCCCCATTAAGGTTCCTCTCAGTTCTGGCCCCCAACCCTTCTGTAAGACACAGTTACTTATTTCTGAGTCTGGATCCTGAGGAGTGATAAATGTTTCTGGGGGATGGGAGGTGGGGTGCCCAGTCTGACCGAAGATGGCAGGGTGGGGGATGGGAATGGGTGGCAGCACAGCACTGAGTGTTGACCTTTGGAGTTTGACCAATGAGAACTTAATTTTTACCCCAAATGCAGGTTAAGATTTACTGCGGTTTCAGCAGCCTTTGAGAACCTTTGGTAATCCTAGGAAATATGTGGAAACTGCTTTTGTATTCATTCAGCAAATTTTTATTGACCTTCTACTGCAGACATGATCCCTCGGCTCCACTCTCCTGTCTACCATTAGCCATTGCTATCTCTCATGTGGACCATTGCGACCATGTCCTATCTAACACCTCTCTGCCTGCCCTCTCCACCCCTCCAATCTATCCTGCACGCTCTGCTCCTTCTCTAGTACATTGCTGAAAACCCCTAGCATGTCACTGCTGCCAGTACTAATAATGAAATTGGTCATTCTGTGGTCCTTTAAGAGGTGCAAAGCTCTTATCTCAGAGCTAGTCTTTATCTTTATTTTATGGATGAGGAAATGAGGCTCAGGGTAATTAAGTCATTTTCTCAGGGTCACACAGCTAGGAGAGATTTGAACATGAGTCTTCCTTACTCCATTTGTTCAATTGTTTTTAGTCGTGTCTGACTCTCCATGACCCCATTGGGGGTTTTCTTGGCAAAGATACTAGAGTGGCTTGCCATTTCCTTCTCCAGCTCATTTTATAGATAAGGAAACTGAGGCAAACAGAGTTAAGTGACTTGCCCAGGGTCAAACAGCTAATAAGTGTCTGAGGCCAGATTTGAGCTCATGAAGATGAGTCTTCCTGAATCCAGGCCTAGTGCTCTATCCACTGCTTCCCTAGTTACTCTCCTGACTCCATGTCTACATGCTATCACATGCCTAGGCATTTCAGAGCCTCCACAGTTTAGCTCTGTCCTGTCTTTCTAGTCCATTCTCCTAGTACTCTTTTTCATATACTGTACCCTCCACTTAAGCCAAAATGGGCTGCTCAAACACATCTCCCTTTCCCACCTTCTCATCTTTGTAATTTAATTGCAAACTCCTTTGTCCTTTTTTCTTCCTTGTAATCCTACTTATCCTATAAGGCTCAGCTTCCCTGATCCCCCTAGCAGGAAATGATCTCTCCCTTCTTTAAGTCCTCAGAGAAATTATTTCTATCACCCTGTGACCCTGATCACAGTGGGGAGAAGTTATAGAGACAGCTTTAAACTCCAAGTAAAAGAGAGAGATAGAGAAATCCTTACTCATGATAAACAGGTACCCCAGAGTAGAATGGATTAGTAGTAGTAGTTAACTCCTCATCTTCAAGTGGAGATTAGATGATCTCTATAATTTTTTGTCGAAAGGATGGATACCTGCTTAGATGTGGGTCAGACTAAAAGACCTCCTTTCTAGTTGTGTGATTCTATTTTGTTTAGGTTTGGCCTTTGGAAAATTTTGACCTTCATCTTAGGAAAACTTCCTTTTTTTTTTTTTTAAATACAACAGCTCACTCCACATTCCTCTAAGCCCTATCTTCTCCTAAGTCATTGTAAAGTACTCTAAATTCCCTCTGCCTTCTTCCTTGATCAAAAGTTGCTTTAGGATACAAAGTAGCTGCTAAATTTACTCAGATCAGAGTTACAAATAGCTGAGAATGAATGAATGAATGAGCATGTTAAGTGTTTACTATGTTCAAAAGCATAGGGAATACAAACAGAAAATTGCTGTCAAAGAGCTCATATTCTTTTTTCTTTTTTTGGGTGAGGAATTTGGGGTTAAGTGCCCAGGGTCACATAGCTAGTAAGTGCCAAATGTCTGGTCTGAGACTGGATTTGAACTCAGGTTCTCCTGACTCCTCATATTCTAACAGGGGGAAGTAACAAATACTATAGTTTTTTAGCAGCAAGTCAGATAGAAAGGCCTCCTGAACCTTAGGATACAGAAGGGACATTATATTTTCTTTTATGTCATTTCCATTGATAAAAACCATATCCATTTCTGAAGATGAATCATTTGATAGTATCAAGGACTTTGGTGTCGATAGCTTTCTTTTTCTGGATTTTCAGTAACTGTTTAATTACCGTTCCCAGGACAACTGGCATATCATTATTGCAAATAATAATAGCACTTATGCCCAAAGAGTTGTAAAACTGTGCATACCCTTTGATCCAGCAATACCACTGCTAGCACTATATCCCAAAGACATCCAAAAAATGGGAAAAGGACCTATTTGTATAAACATATTTGTAGGAGCTCTTTTTGTGGTGGCTAAGAATTGGAAATCAAAGGGATGCCCATCAACTGGGGAATGGCTAAACAAGCTGTGGTATATGATTGTGATGGAATATTATTGTGCTGTGAGAAATGACAAGCAGGAAGATCTCAGAAAATCTGGAAAGACTTACATGAACTGATGCATAGTGAAGTTATCAGAACCAGAAGAACGTTGTACCCAGTAACAGCAATATTGTTGGATGAAGAACTGTGAATGGCTTTGGCTATTCTCAGCAATACAATGATCTAAGAAAATTCCAAAGGACTAATGATGAAATGTGCTATCTACCTCCAGAAAAAGAAGTCATATTGATTGAATATGTACTGAAGCATGCTATTTTTCACTTTCTTTCTTTTTTTTCCCCTTTTATTTGAGTCTTCTTGTACAAAATGGCTAATATGGAAATGTTTTACATAATTGCACATGTATAACCTATATCTGATTGCTTACCATCTCAGGGAGGAGGGAGAGGGGAGGGAAGGAGGGATAGAATTTGAAACTCAAAACTTTAAATAAAAATGTTAAAAAATTAAAACAAATAATAGTACTAAAATTTAGCATATCAACCATACCTGGGATCAGAGATACCCGAGTTTGTGCCAGAAATACAAAATTAACTAGCTATATAACCTTGGTTCTGATTCTTCTTTACAACATGATTAATGTGGAAGTATGTTTAATATGATTGTACATGTACAGCCTATATCAGATTCCATGCCGTCTTGGGGAATATGAGTTCCTGAAGGGCAGGGATCATCTTGCTTGCTTGTATTTATTTATACAGTGCTTAGCACGGAGCCTGGCATATAATAAATGTTTTATTCATTCCTTCATTCATTCTTTTTACCAAAGAATATTGGGAGATATGTGGGCAGCTAGGTGGTACAGTGGATAGAATGCTGAGCCTGGAGTCAGGAAGTCTTATCTTCCTGAATTCAAATCCAGCCTCAGATACTACTAGCTGTGTGATCCTGGATAAGTCACTTAATTCTATTTGCCTCAGTTTTCCCATCTGCAGAATGAGCTGGAGAAGGAAATGGCAAACAACTCCAATGTCACGAGAAAGAAAAAAAAAAGAAAAATAAAGAGAAAATAGTATGCTTCGATCTTCATTCAGACTCCATAATTCTTTCTCTGGATGTGGATAGCATTTTCCATCTTTAGTCTTTTGGAATTGTCTTAGATCATTGCATTGCTGAGAAGAGCTAAGTCTATCAAAGGTGGTCATATGTTGCTATTACTGTGTACAGTGTTCTCCTAGTTCTGCTCACTTCACTCAGCATCAGTTTAGGTTTTCCTGAAATATGCCTGCTCATCATTTCTTATGGAATAATAGTATTCTATGACATTCACATACCACAACTTGTTCAGTCATTCCCTAACTGATGGGCATCCCCTCGATTTCCAGTTCTTGGCCACCACAAAAAGAGCTGCTGTAAATACTTTTGTACATGTGAGTCCTTTTCTCATTTTTATGATCTCTTTGGGATACAGACCTAGAAGTGGTATTGCTGGGTCAAAGTGTATGCCCAGTTTTATAGCCCTGTAGGCACAATTCCAAACTGCTCTGCAGAATGGCTGGATCAGTTTACAGCTCCACCAACACTGTATTGGTGTCCCAAGTTTCCCACGTCGTCTCCAATATTTGTCGTTTTCCTGTTTTGTCATGTTGGCCAATCTGATAGTTGTGATGTGGTACAGGAACTTATATTCTAATGGCTGAAGACAACATATAAAGGGGGACTGGGAAGGAAGGAAAGATGCTTACATGTAGTCAGTATGGAAATGCCTAGGAAGTGACATGGTAGCCTGGTTCTGGGCAGGGCAAGGTAAAAGTCCAGCTATCGAAGCCCAGGGTCCCCAGGGCAGAGTCTGGATTCTGATGAGGAGGCTGGCCAGAGGGCAGGTGGCATGGTTTGGCACCAGCAATGAATAGGAAGCTATGGGGTACTTAGAATCATAGACTAGAGACATGAGAGCAGTAAGGGACCTTAGAGTCATATCCCCTCATTTTAGAGATGAGGTCCCGTTGGGGGAAGTGACTTGCCCAGGGTCATGCAGCTAGAATGTGTATCTTGACCCTAAGTCTAGCATTTTCTGTACTGTATCATACTTCTTCCAGTGGTCTGTAATGTGTATGTATATAAACCTTATATGAAGATTGACTAAGCCATTCTCTTCTGTAAACTGGCCAGCAGGAGCTGCCCAAGTGGAGGGAACTTTAAATTCAAATTCCAGTGAAATTATCTTTGGAAGTACATCTATTAAGTTTCTGCAAAAACAAAATGAGTGAAGTTACAAGTCACGAGAGAAAGAGTTAACTGGGAGAAAAAATGTTTGCAGCAAGTTTCCCTACAAAAGATTTCATATCCAAGATATATAAAGAACTGATACAAATCTGTAAGGCTAAGAGCCATTCTTGGCAACAGATTGGATGGGGGGGGGTGTGAAAGAATGAGGAAGAGGCGTTGAGGATGATGCCTAGGTCGTGAGCCTGGGGGACTGGGAGGATGGTGATGCCTTCAGTAGTAATAGGGAAGTTAGGAAGGAGGGAGTGTTTGAGGGGAAAGACTTATGGATGGGGGAGAGGAGTAGTAATATCTGAAAATAATTATATACAAAGAAAAAAATCAATAAAACTTAAAACCAAAACTAGGTGAGGTTGAACCAGCTGCTCTCTGGGGTCTCTTTTAGCTCTAAATGCTGAGATCCATTTTCTACCTCTGACTGAAGTGACTGGGCTGGGATTCAAACTTAAGTCCTTTGACTCCAAATCCAGTATTCTATCCAACCCCATGTAGTAATAAATCAAGGTAAGCAAGCAAGCATTTATTAAGTTTCTGCACTGTGCTAATGCTGGCCTTTACCTTACATTTCTGTAGGACTTTATGGTCCATAGAGAGCTTTTCCCATGTTCACCCTATGAGGTAGGTAATAACCTCACATAGTAATCAGTCAATAATGCTTTCTCATTCATTTTCCTCATTTTCCAGATGAGGAGAGTGGCTCAGGTAAAGAGACTTATCCAAGATCACACAGTTAATACCCATCAAAGGCTTCAATTTGTTTCTTATCACTACAAGTCCAGAACTCCTTCTAGTAGCATCTCTGACCTAGCCAAGGCCTTTTGGCATTTAACACCATTCCATTTGTTTGAAAATGCCATAATCTCTCTTTCTTTAAGCCTCTCTAACCCTGGGAATATCTCTGCAGTGTCACCGATGGGAATCTTCGCTACAATTTTACCAACCTGGATAGATTTTTAGATCTTCTTTGGGAGAACCAGCTCATTCCAGGTAACATCAGGAAAAATTGTAGTTTTTCGAATTCCAATGAACTCTGAAAGAATTCTGAAATTAATGAATTCTAGTGAATTCTTTAGTCCCAGTAATAGAGAGAATTAGGACTCAAAGGGGAGATCTAAGCCTAGTTCTGGCTCTCTGCTTTCCTCTGTGGGATGGTATCACTTACCTCTCAGACACTTTCAGTGCCTTCTCCTTGCTTTCAAGATTAAATCCAAACTCCTTGCTCTGACATTCAAGGCCCTCCACAATCTAATCGGTCCTACTTTTCCAACCTTACTTTCTATGGCTTCCCTTACACAGATCCTCAGTTCTAGCTCACTGACTCTCCTTATTGTCCTCTGAACATACCAGGCTCTATCCACATCTCTGGACTTTTGCTTATACCATTCTTCCTGCTTCTAATGCCCTCTTCCCTCCTGTTGGCCTCCCTAAACCTTGCCTGTCTTTAGTGTAGGAATTCTAGGAGTCTTCCTTCCTCTTACAGATCTCTCCAGTTTCTGAGCTCATATGAATAAAGGATTGAAGTCAGCCAGACTGAGACCCTACTGGGCACTGCCTGCCTGCACTGGCCCTGATGGTCTGTCTTCCCCCTATTAGTGGGCCAGGCCGCTTGTTCCCATTTGGGAAAGTTTTCTTAAGGACACTGAAAAGTATTTTCATGTATTTAAGGGTTTGAGTTGATGGGGAGCCCATCTGGATACTTTACTGATTTTGAGGACAAGAAGCAGGTGTATGAATGGAGGAACCTGGTCACCCTATTGGCTACGAGATATATTGGTAAGTTTTGAAAGGCCTTGGTGTGGGTACCTTATAATCTTTTTTTTTTTAACTTAACTCTTGGGGCAGCTAGGTGGCTCAGTGAATAGAGCTCTGGCCTTGGAGTCAGGAGGACCTGAGTTCAAATCCAGCCTCAGACACTTAACAGTTACTAGCTGTGTGACCCAGGGCAAGTCACTTAACCCTGATCGCCTCACCAAACACACACACACACACACACACACACACACACACACACACACACACAGAAAAAACTGAACTGTTTAATTTTTTCCCAATTACATATAAAAACTATTTTTAAGCTTTGTTTTTTATAGTTTTGTGTTCCAAATTCTCTCCCACCCTCCCTCCTCTCCCCCATCATTAAAAAAATAAGCAGTTTGATAGTTATACATGTAGAAAGTATGGTAGGAATGGATTGTTCAAGTTTTATTGATGTTTTTGCTTTTACTACAAGGGAACCATTCCTCATAACAAGGGAAAATGGTGAAACTAAAGCAGCCATCCCCTTCCCTTGCTGCACTGATAGCAGCTTTGATAGCATTCCACATCTGCAGCCTGCCCTCTCTCATACCAATGGGGGAGGAAGCAGCCTCTCATTGTCTGATGTAAGAAGGTGGAGGTCATGGCACTAGGGCACTAAGTGTTAGCTTGCTTGTCGATTTTAACCTAGCAATGCCAGGAGACGAGGAAGGTTGGAGATAGTCAAGAGAGCCAAATCTCACAGTCAGACTGTGGGGTGGGGAAGACTCATCTGAACCCAGGAGGTTGGGAGAAAAACTTCGGACTCTTTGAAAGAAGTTCATAGAATTATTTTCAGGTACCCCCAGAACTCAAGCTAACAAAGTGACTTCATTCAGGTCCATTCTCTTCACTGTGGTCTCTTAATATTTCTTCTCTACTCTGACATTCCATGTTCTAAGGCTCTTCCCAGCTCTGATATTCCATGTTCTAAGGCCCCTCCCAGCTCTGACATTCCATGTTCTAAGGCCCCTCCCAGCTCTCATTTCATATTCTAAGATGTCTCCCAGCTGACGTTCTGTGTTCTATGTTCTAAGATCTTTCCTGGCTCTGACATCCTATGTTCTGTTTTTCAGAGTTTCAGGGTAGAGGATCTCCAGGGATAGTTAATAAATATTTAAAATTTACTTTGATAGTTATTCAATTTTCACATGCAAACAGATGGTGATTAACTTAGATCTGCTTGTTCTCAGAAGCTGGGGAATGACACACTGGTGCCCTCCAGGGAGAGCGGTTATGAAGTTGGCATGATATTTGGAGGTGTCATAGAATCACTTAGAATCACTGGGGATGGCAGCGTGTGGGATGAAATGTTCATCATCAGTTTCTCTCTGTGAAGCCTGAGCTGACAGTGGCCTTGACATCGCTCGTGGTCTCATTTGCAGAGAAGTATGGGGTAAGCCACGTCTCCAGATGGAATTTTGAAACGTGGAATGAACCAGATCATCACGACTTTGACAACGTGTCCATGACAATCCAAGGTATGCAGGCATTTTCTCAGATGGTGCAGGAATGGCTGGCAGAGGATGGGCAGGGTGCTTGCTCTGGGCACAAGAAGTGGACCTTCCTACCACTTGTGCAAATGCATTGAGTTTAATTACAGAGTTCTCAGTTCGGAAGGTTTGGGTTCTATTCCCAGCTCTGCCTCTGATTAACTGTGTGGCCTTGAGCAAGCCCCTTGCTTTCTCTGGACTTTAGTTTCCTACTCTATAAAATGAGAAGACTAGAATAGGTAGAATGGTCTCTCACTCTGCTTCTCTGACTCTGTGGTTTGCTCAGCTCTTTGCTAGACTTTATGAGGGAGATGACATAATGACTTCAAAGCCTTTTTACATGCATTGTATTATTACATCCTCACAATGGCCTCTGGAGGTCTGCAGGGTTATTAGCCCCATTTTACAGATGAGCAAGTTGAGGCAGCTATGTGGCATAGTGGATAAAGTGCCTCAGACACATAGTAGCTGTGTGACCCTGAATGAGTCACTTAACTTTTGTTTGTCTCAGTTTCCTCATCTGTAAAATGAGTTGGAGAAGGAAATGGCAAACCACTCCAGTGTCTCTGCCAAGAAAATCCCAAATGGGGTCATGAAGAGTCAGCATGACTGAGCAACAACAACAAGAATTTGAGGTTCAAGGGTTAAGTGACTTGCCCAGAGTTTAAGTAGATTGGCTGGGGAGTCTTACGACTCCCAGTCTAGCATTCTTTTACCATCATTCTCTACCTTTGGTCTCTGCTCTTAAAGATGGGAGTGGAGGGGTGGGAGGATGGGGCGGGGAGATACAAGACACATAACCATGAAATTACAGTGAGAGAAAAGTACAGATGAGTGGATGATTGGGAGCTAGAAAGTGTGGTGCAGACTATAAGGTCTATGGAAGAGATCAGTGTGGAATGGAGAAACCTGGGAAGGCTTCATGGACAGGGAAGATTCCTTGAAGGATAAGGATAATAATTTACTCACACAGCTTATAGAGACCAAATTGTTATTAGTGAATGTTTACTGAGCACAGTGTTTAAATGATTGGGTAAGTAAATGGATTAATGATTAAGTGAATAAATTAATGGATGAATGAATGAGTTAATGAAAGAATAAATGGGTAGGTGAATGAGGGGATGTTAGTGAGTGAGTGAATAAATGATCAGTAACTGAATAAGTTGGGCAGCTAGGTAGTGCACTGGATAGAGTTCAGCGCCTGAAGTTAGGAAGACTCATCTTCCTGAGTTCAAATCTGGCCTCAGACACTTACTAGCTGTATGACTCTGGGCAAATCACTTAATCCTGTTTGCCTCCGTTTCCTAATTTGTAAAATGAACTGGAGAAGGAAATGCCAAGAAAACACCAAATTGAGTCATGAAGAGTCAGACACCACTGAAAATGAGTGAATAGCAGCAGTAAAATGAATGAGTAGATCAGTGAATAACTGTAGCTTTTGGATATAGGCTTCTTGAACTATTATGATGCCTGCTCAGAAGGCCTAAGGAAAGCCAACGTAGGGCTGAAGTTTGGAGGTCCTGGTGACTCCTTCCATCCATTTCCAAAGTCCCCCATTTGCTGGAACCTACTCAGTCACTGCTACAATGGGACAAACTTTTTCACGGGTGAGAAAGGTGTGCGCCTGGATTATATCTCCTTACACAGGAAGGTGAGTCTCATATGGATCCCTCAGGGTTCTGAACTGGGAACCTAAAGAAATCATAAGATTTCTATCATCCTTTTACACCTTAATATGAGTTAGATTCTTGCCCTCCAGTGTATCTTTGCTTATGCTATCCTCTGTGACTGGAATGAACTGTCCACCCCCACACATCTTCATTTTTTTTTTTGTGAGGCAGTCAGGGCTAAGTGACTTGCCTAGGGTCACACAGCTAGTAAGTCTCAAGTGTCTGAGGCCAGATTTGAACTCAGGTCATCCTGACTCCAAGGCCGGGGCTCTGTCCACTGCACCACCTAACTTCCCCTATCTTTTAAAGTCACTTCCTTTCTTCAAGGCCCAGCTCAGGTAAGAGACCCCCTCAATGAAGTCCTTCCAGATCTCCCCAGCTTAAAATGACTTCATATCAAATTCACCATAACACTTTGCCTAAATGTCTCCTTTGGCCTTATTGTATAAATTTTGTATTTGTGGTGGGCTGGTGAGTAGGGCTGTCACTCCCTCTTACCCCAAGCCTTGTGTGGGTGGGTGAACAAGTCAAGCAGTGTTTATTAATCTTCTGCTATGTAGCAGACACTGTGCTAAGTTCTAGGGATTCAAAGGAATGCAACAAAAAGTTCCTGCCCTCCAGGAGTTTATAGTCTAATGGCTACTTCTGAGCTACTCTCTACAATCCTCCTTTGAAGGAATGGTTTCCTTTCTAACAAGGCAGAAGAAAACAGTGGGAAGGGAAGTGGCCAAGCCCCGCTCCCTCTTAAAGCTAGCTCCTTAGCCCATTACAGCTTTTGCACACACACACACACACACACACACACACACACACACACACACACACATACACACTCACAAGCTAAGATTTGGTGACTTATTTGGCTAAGTTTTCTCTCTACACTTAGAAGTTGTTTATATATGTACATACATGTGCGTATACACACACACACACACATATATATATGTGTATACACACACACACACACACACACACACACACACACACACACATGACCCAGTAATTCTCATTTGTTCACTCTGAGTCCTCAGGCGGAACTGGCCTGGTAAGCATACCAAGTTGCAAAATCTGTTTCTCTCTCATTCTGGGCGCTCCTCATTGTCTCTCTCTGCCAGTGATACATACGGGTTAACAATGCAGTGGTCAACCACACTGATAATATATAAAAACAGAAGAGAAAAAAAGAAAAAGCAGAAAAGCTAGAGAAACTCTCAGAAACAGATGCATGGCTCTAGGATGGCAGGGAAAGAAAGAAAGGGAAGGGAATAAACATTTTTTTTTTTTTTTGGTGAGGCAACCAGGGCTAAGTGACTTGCCCAGAGTCACACAGCTACTAAGTGTCAAGTGTCTGAGCCAGATTTGAGCTCAGGTCCTACTGACTCCAAGGCAGGAGCTCTATCCACTGCGCCACCTAGCCGCCCGGAATAAGCATTTCTTAAGCTCCCATTGTGTGCCAGGCTCTGTGGTAAGTGCTTTTCCAAGTGTCCCCTCCTTTAAGAGAATGGAAGAGAAAGAGAGGAATAAGAGAATCACCGACTCTGGTCTCAGATGCCCGAAAATGGTGCAGATATGTCTATTCCATGTTTCCTGTTCATGGTTTGATCACACAACCCCCATCCTGGAATCTGGCACTAAGAATTTCCTGGCCGGCAGGTTTCCATGAAATTCCCATAGGTACATCCCCTGGTTCACAGTACAGCTGCTAGAGGAGCTGGCTGCCTCTTCACACCTGCCAAGGTGCTGGCACTCTCTAGCCTGGATGATGTTTCCCCACAGCTTCAGCTGTTCCCACCGTCCCTTAGGATGGGAGGGGCTGACTTGTGAGAGTCTGGGTTTAGCAGGCATCCATATCTCCTTGGTAACCCAAAGGATGCTACACATGTCTTTCTCTTCTCTTAGACTGTAAATTTTTTGAGGGCAGGAATGGCCAGTGGGCACAACCCCTTGAACAGAGGAGGCACTAAATGGTGTCTGGTGAAGTGAATGAGGGGGATAAGGAGCGACCAACCCCCTGGTCAATGCCTCAGTGGTCTGATAACTTAACTTGGGATTCTTTCAGGGTGGGGGCAGCTCTATTTACATCCTAGAGCAGGAAAAGGAAGTAGCCCAGCAGATCCAGAGCCTTTTCCCCAATTTCACCCATGTCCCCATTTATAATGACGAGGCTGACCCGCTGGTGGGCTGGTCCCAGCCCCAGATTTGGAGAGCAGATGTGACATATGCAGCGATGGTTGTGAAGGTAAGTTCCCCTCTGCCTTCCAGGCTTTCTGTCTTTGTTGAACCAAGATACTTCTCTAAAGCATTTCATGGATGTATATGCTTGTTCACTTCAATGTGGCCGACATTGAGTGCTGAAAAATCCAGGTGAAAAGTACAAAGAAGGTGAGAGGGGCAGGAAGAGAAGCAGAGTTGAGGGAGAGACAGAGAGGAGGGGGAGAGGGAAGAGGAGAGAGAGAGAGAAAGAAAGAAAGAATCAAGAATTTATTAAGCATCTACTATGTGCCAGGCACTGGGCTAAGTGTTTTATAAATATCTGATTTGATCCCCACAACGATCCTGGGAGGTAGTTGCTATTATGATCACTATTTCACAATTGAGGAAACTGAGGCAGGAAGAAGTGAAGTGACTTAGGACACACAACTAGAAGTGTCTGAGACCAGATCTAAGCTTATCTTCTTGACTCCAGGCCCAGCACTCTAACCACTGGGCCACTTGGGTGCTCCAAGGTTGAAGGGGAGAAAGAGGGAGAGGAGAGGGAAAGTGGACATACACACACACACACACACACGCACAGAGACAAAGGCAGAGAGACAGAGTGATAGAGAGAGAGAAAGAGAGAGAATAGGAAAGAGTGAGAAGGGAGAACAAGATATAGCAAAAAGAGACAGAGAAGTGACACTGGCCAAGAGGTGACAGAGAAAGAAAGAAACTGGAAAAGTTTCTGGGCTAAGAATCAGGAGACCCAGGATCTGTCCTGGTTCTGACACTAACTAATATGACCTTGGGGAAGTTTTTTTCCCTCTCTCTGAGCCTCAGTTTCCCCCACTTTAAAATAAAGGGACTAGATTAAGTGCTCTCTGAAGTCTCTTCCAGCTCAGATGCTCTGTGACTCTCTGGGGCTCGAGAAGGGGCATAGAATCAGCTACTGGTGGGGCACCTAGTGGTGAGTGGGGAGTTCCATCTGTTCCAGGCTACCCCTCCTTCTAGGTCATAGCCCAGCATCAGACCCTGTTGCTGTCACAGCCCAACAACACCCTGAACTATACCCTGCTGAGCAATGATAATGCCTTCCTGAGCTACCACCCACACTACTTTACCCAGAGGACACTGACTGCCCGCTTCCAGATGAACAACACAAAGCCACCCCATGTGCACCTAGTCCGAAAGCCCGTGCTCACTGCCATGGGGCTGCTGGCCCTGCTGGGTAAGGTCCATTGAACCCTGCAGATCCTGGGCAGGAGACTCCCCAGTGCTGGCCCCACTCTCTCCTGCCCATCTGTCCGTTTCCCTCTGGCATCCTTCTGCCCCTTGGCCCCTACCATCATCATTGTCTATCATTGCTTCAGGCTCTTCTTTTTCTTGGTCTTTCTCCCTTCTCTCATCCCCTCCATCTCATATCTGTCTCTTCCTCAACTCTGATTCTCTCCCTCTCTGTCTCTTCCCCTTTGTCTTTCCTGCTCCTTGCCTTCTCTCTCCCTTTTCTCTTTCTTTCCCTTTCTGTCTCCCTCTTTCCTTATCTCTTTTTTTGTCTTTTTCCTTTCTCATCTCTCCTGTCTTCGTCCTCACTTCTCTGCCTTTCTCAATTTTCTCTCCTTTTGTTTCTGTCTGTCTTCCTCTCTCTCTGTCTCTGTCTCTCATATACATTCTTTATTTCTCTTCCCCTACCCTCTGTCTCCCCCCCATCTCTTTTGTTTTTCCTTGCCCCTCTCTTTCCCTCTCCATCTCTGCTGGGGGCTGAATAGACTCTCCTTGGAGTAGGTGTAGGGAGTGAAAGAGGATCTAGCATGGACCATGCTTAGCCTAAAGGAATGAAATTCTGAATGTGGAGAGAATCATGGGAGGAATGGCTTTCCTGGGGCTCCTCTCTTCACACCCTGTTGATAGGTAGCCTCTTCCATACACTGAAGCAGGAACCAAGCCAGTACTAACACAAGTGTTGGTCTGGTGTCCTGGACTTACAGGTGAAAACCAGTTGTGGTCAAAGGCTCACTGTGATGGGCTACTGGTGGACAGCAATCACACAGTGGGAGTACTGGCCACCTCCCACTGGCCTGAGGAGGCGTCTTCACCAGACAGCTGGCAGGCCACCGTGCTGGTGTATGCCAGTGATGACAATCGGACATCTGCCAACCTCAGTACTGTCACCATCCAGCTCAACACATCCCACCAGCTACAGGTGAGAACCTGGGGCCAGAAGGGACTTGGGTGAGCTTCAAACCCCACTTTTGTCCTTCTCTCTCTTTCTGTTCAAGAAACTTCTGTAGGTCCCCATGACATGTGGGACAAAGCCAGGGTGCCTTTGTCTGACACTCAAGTAAGTGTTGTGGCATATTAGAAAGATCCCCGGCTGGCTTCTAGTCCCAGCTGTGACATTTCTTAGTCATGTGACACTGGGCAAGTCATTTGCCATCTTTGGACCTCAGTTTCTTTAAAATGAGGATGATCCTTTTACTGCCTGCTTTATAGGTCTGTGGTGCAAAAGCACTTTGTCAAATGTATAGTAATATGGACATGAGAACAATTCCTAGGATTATTTAAGGCTCTCCTACCTTCAGCCTCATGGGACTTCTATCTCTAGCTCTAGTCTATGAGTCTGTAACTCTACCCCATCCCACCCTGACTACCATATGAACCTTCTCCTCCAGTTTAACTAGTCTCATCACTGCTTCTCACATAAACCTATCCTCTTCTCTAAATCCCATTCATCCTTCAGGGCCTTCTCAAAGCCCCACCAATTTGCGCTGTCTGCCTCTCATTGCTTCAGCCCCCAGTGACAGCTAGTGCATTCTCTCTCTCTCTCTGTCTCTCTGTCTGTCTGTCTCTCTGTCTGTCTCTCTGTCTGTCTCTCCGTCTCCCTCTGTTTCTCTCTCTGTCTCTGTCTGTCTCTCTGTCTCTCTGTGTCTCTGTGTCTTTCTCTCTTTCTCTCTCTATCTCTCTGTCTCTCTGTCTCTGTCTGTCTGTCTCTGTCTGTCTCTCCCCTCCCTACCCCAGACTGCTTACAGCAATTTGAGGCATACAATCATGTTGTTGTTTAGGTGTTTCGGTCGTGTCTGACTCTTCATGACCTCATTTGAGGTTTTCTTGGCAGATACTGGAGTGGTTTGCCATTTCCTTCTCCTGCTCATTTTACACATGAGGAAATGGAGGCACACAGAGTTAAGTGTCTTGCCCAGGGTCACACAGCTAATAAATGTGTGAGGCCAGATTTGAGCTCAGGAAGATGAGTCTTCCTGACTCTAGGACCAGAACTCTATCCACTTCCCCCTCAGAAGGCATCTATTCCAACCCAAATCTGTTTGGTTTTTTTTTTTTGAGGTAATTGGGGTTAAGTGACTTGCCCAGAGTCACACAGCTAGTGAGTATCATGTGTCTGAGGCCAGATTTGAACTCAGGTCCTCCTGACTTCAAGTCTGGAGCTCTATCCATTGTGCCACCTAGTTTCACCTCTCCAACCGAAATCTGAAGCAAGACTTTCAACACCATTCCTAATGAGAAGACATCCACACAGCCATCTGAAAGCTCACTGATGGGAGGCTACCTCTGGAGGCAGCTCATTGACTTGTGGGAAGCTCAAATTGTGGGGAAGTTTTTTTCTTACCACCAACTGAAATCTGCCTTCTTGCATCTTCTGCCCCACTGCTCCTAGTTCTGCCCTCTGAGATCCAACAGAGCTAGTCTGAGCTCTCTTCCACATAGAGGCCTTCAGATACTCAGAGGCAGGGACTGCACCTTCTCCAGAATTCTTGGAACCCCCTTGGCCCCATCCGTTTACCTTGCCACCCTACCCTCGAGCTGTGACCCTACCCTCGAGCTGTGACTCACCTTCTACCCAACTCAGCTTCTCCTGTTTTTGAATCTTCTGGGATCCATTTCTCTGCCTCTCTCCAGACCTTGTCTACATGACCTATTATATGGATAATAATCTCACCAGCCCTTATCTGGAATGGAAGAAACTTGGATCACCTGTCTTTCCCACCATAAAGCAATTTCAGCAGATGAGAGAGACTGAGGTATGGCCAGAGAGATTGGGTGGGGGGGGGGGAGGGGCGTGGAGAAAACAGAACTGGATGTTGAGAAGAGATGAGGCAAGAGCGTGGGAATGAGAAATGGCAAAAGGGAGAAGAGGAGGCCAGAACAATATTGGAAAAGACAGGGCAAAGGCTCATGGGTGAGGGATGGCAGGAGGGACACGAGGCACTCAGGGATCAAGTGAAGGTCATGAAGGTCCAAGAGAGAAGAGGGGCTAGACCCCAGGTCTGGGGGAGATGGTCAAAGAGATGAAGGATTTATATTTGTCCTTGCTCAGCGAAATGAGTCATAGCATTAGAGCCTGGAGATGTGGATTCTAGTCTCTTCTCTCTGGGCCTCAGTTTCCCTCTCTGTAAAATGAAAGGGTTACATATTTCCTAAAGGCCCTTTCACTTCTGACATCCCACAGTCCTGTTCCATGCTTCTAAGTAGTTGGAAATGCCATCCAGTTCTGTGTGAGGGGGTTGTTTAATTCCTATAGCCAGCTTCTGATATCGTGTTGTATTTCTTTAGGACGCTGTAGCCACAGGCCCATTTCCATTTCCTGAAAATGGCCAGCTGACCCTAAAGCAGGAGCTTTCAATACCCTCAATCCTTCTCCTTCATGTGTGTTCGAGGCCGCAGCTGCCCCCAAACCAGGTACAACACTGGGGTTCCCTGCCCAAAGACAAAGGCACAAAGCCCTACCTAAAGCCTCTTCTAGGCAGCCATTAGGGTCTTAGCACATCCCACTGTACAGCAAATACAAGAGTCTGAGGACCTGGATTCAAATTCCAGTTCAACTACAAGAAACTGAAGTGGCCAGGCAACTCTCTTAAAATACCAGCCACCTCAGAAAAGGGAGCCCCTAAGAAATTGGGGGCCCTGGGGAGCAGTGTGGACAAAGGCCCAGTGGTGAGAATAAGCCAAGTGGGGAAGAATAAGGGAAAGAAAATGGGAGGAAGCAGGCCTTTCTGAAGCTGAGGGACCTTTTTAGTAGTGAAGTTTGAAAAAGGGTCAGATTTAAGGGTAAATGGGATAGCTTCCATTTTGGATTTATATTGAGATCCTAATGGGCCATTCATATGGAGATGTCCAGCAGACATCTCAAGCTAAAGGCCTGGAGTTCAGGCAAGAGATGGGACTAGAAATGTAGATTTGGGCATCATCTGAATGCAGATGTTCGTTGATCATCTTCATCATTGATGAAGGGAGAGAATATTAAAAAAGAGTTAATATGAGGGCATGGGATGGAACCTTGGCAAAAAATCCCATTTATCAAGACTGAAAAATGGGTGATGGTCCAGTGAGGTAGACTGACAAGGAGCTATCAACACATAGGGAGGAGGAGAATGAGAAGACAGCAGTGTCATGGAAACCAGAGGGAGTCTATCTAAGAGAGAAGGGGGCGGTGGACAGTGTTGAAAGCAGAAGAAATGTGAAGAAGCATGAGGACTGAGAAACTGGGATCATGGACGTCCTTGCAAAGGGCGGTTTCAGTCGAATGGTGGGGTCAGAAGGCAGATTTCAAAGGGTCAAGGAGAGTGGATAATGATGAGGAAGGAGACACAGTGACTAAGAAGTTGGCTGTGAAAAGAGAAAAAAAATAGGGTGATACCTGGAAAGAATGGCAGGATCAAGCAAGGTTTATTTTGAAATGTTTATTATTTATTTATCTTTAGCATTCTTTTCTTTTGAAAATTTGAGTTCCAAATACTCTCTCTCCTTCCCACCCTGAGAAGGTGAGCAATAGTAATTGTGCATGTGAAATCATGCAAAACATATTTTCATATTAACCATATTTTTTTTAAAAAAATCAAGAATAAAGAAAGTGAGAAAATGATATTTCAATCTGCACTCAGAGTTCATCAGTTCTTTCTCTGGAGGTGAAGAGCATTTTTTTCATCATTGAATCCTTTGGAACGATCTCAGATCATTATATGGATCAGAGTAGCCAAGTTAAGTAAGGTTTTGTTTGTTTGTTTGTTTGTTTTTTGGTGAGGCAATTGGGTGACTTGCCCAGAGTCACACAGCTAGTAAGTGTTATGTGTCTGAAGTTGGATTTGAACTCAGGTCCTCTTGACTCCACAGCTGGTGCTCTATCCACTGCGCTACCTAGCTGACCCCTCAAGTAAGGTTTTTAAGAGAAGGGGAGATCTGGGCATTTCTGTCAGCAGCAGGAAGTCTACCCTCTAGGCAGGGAGATCTAAAGTCTCTTGACCCTTCAGATCCAAATGCAGTGGTCTCTCCAGGGAACTGGGACTCACTGCTGGTGAGCTGGCTCCATTCACACTGACGAGGATTTCTCTCTCACCTTCCCCCTGGATAGGTGAATGGTGTCCGAATCTTGCCTGTCACAAGAGGGCAGATCACGCTGCTCTGGGATGATAGCTGCGTGAACTCAAAGTATGTATACACGGTCATGTAAACCCCCTTAGGAATGTGGGATCTCAGAGCTGGGAGGGACCCTAACAGTCTTGGAGTTCAAATACCTTAATTTTACTGATGAGGAAATTAAAGCCCAGTGTTACTGACTTACTATGCTACTATAAACACACTCTTTAGATGGGGAGGGGAGGCAGCTCAAAGAGAAAATTCTCTGAGAGGATATATACATTGGCTTCTATTTTTTCTTTCATCATGGGACCATAGAATGTCAGAGCTAGGAGGGTTCTTAGAGATCACATCTTTCAACCTGCTCTTTTTTACAAAGGAGGAAACTGAGGCACAGAGAAGGTAAGGGGCTTGGCCAAGGTCACACAGCTGGTTAGTGGCAAAGCCAAGAGTATTACCCCCATTGCTGTTTCTGTAGAAAATTTGTATTTCACAAAGTAATTTCCTCACAACAGCCCTGTGAAATGAGCAGTCTCAAGCAGTACCATTATCCCTATTTTACAGATGAGAAAACTGAGGCTTATAAGCAAGAAAATAGCCTGGGGTTACAGAGCCAAAAAAATGTTGAGAGAGGACCCACTCAGAGGTTGTGTCAGAGCAACACCGAGAGCTGATTGTTAAATTTTCAGCGTGAGCATTTATGCCTTGGAAATTGGCAAATGCTACAAACAGGCCTGGAGTTATTGTTTTGTTGACTATATGGACTTAAGAAAGTGAGGAAGAAAACATTAATAACGCAAATTAAATTTAAAAGTATGTTATACTTCATTTTTTTTTCAGAGAGCCAGTTGCTAAAAGATTTGCCATCACACCCCTGAGCCAAACTCCTATTTCTTGGCTCCTGGTCTAGGGCTTTTTCTTCTAGAGGCATCAGTGGACATAGATTTGGATTGGAAACCAAGGAGACATAGATTCAAGTCCCAATTCTGACACTCAGTAGACTGCCAAGTCATAGGATTGTCCAATAGACTGGGCAAGTATATTTCAGACTTTAGACTTCTGGAAGGCTTATGGAATTGCAGAGCTGAAAGGGACCTTAGAGATTATTTGGCTTGATCACCCTTCCACCTTTAAGATGGGGAATTAGAGCCCCAGGGAAGAAAAGTGTCCTGTTGAAAATCGTGCGGCTATTAAGTATCAAGAGCTGTGAGCCCCTCCTCCATCACTCTTTATACACGGTTTCTCTGTGTGCCCACAGTGAATCACCGTTGGCATTTCCTCCACCGGCTACCCTTCAGTTCCCCAGTCCACTTAAGTTAGCCTGCCTGCAGCTGTACCTGGTCCCTACAACCCGACAGAATTGGCCCGCCTCCAACCTGCGCTCCCTCCAGGCCCAAGGCCCCAGTGACCTTTTTTTCTCCCGTTTATACTGGCTCAGAGACCAAAAGTGAGTCCCTGGATTTCCAAGCTAAGACTCCTTCCATTATACGACACTGCCTCCTTCTGTCCTATTGCAAGGTCAGTCACTGGAGTAATATCCAGTAATTTTGAGAGGGAGGGAAGGTGACTTTGGGGAGAACATTCATATTGGAAGTGACGACTGAGCTGAGCCTTGACTGAAGCTGCAAAAGCTGAATCAGACATGAGAAGGGGGAGTTTTTCAGTGTTTCAGGTAGGCAATGGGACGTCACATATAGGGGAATTCAGGTAGGCCAATCTGACTGGAATAAGAGTATGTGAGGGGAAGTAATGTGAAATTAGTCTAAAAGTTCAACTGTACAGTCTGTGTCTCAGAGTGAGGGGATTGAATTATGCTCCAGTTCTCACCTTCTTCCCTTGATTGGCCCCTTACTTTGGGCTGTGACTCAGTAGAATTGGCTGTCAGCCCTAGTCCATGAAGCCATGGACTGGATCTTCATCCTGACCCTGATCTTAGTCCTAACCTTGATATGCTACCAAGTGCTACACTACTGAATCTAGCCAAAAGGCTGCACTTGAGGACCTAGAGGGCCAGAGTTCAAGGTTACAGGTTCCCCACCCCTGCGACCTAATCCTGACCCTAATCTTGACCCAAAACCCAAAGGACAAAACTCATAGAAATAACAAAAAATTGTGGAGAGATGAATTTGGGCTCTATGATACTTCCTTGCTCAAAAGACTTCTGTGGCTCCCTACTGCCTCAAGAATAAAATATAAAGTCGCCGTCTTGGCATGTGCATTTCGTTGTGGTCTGACTTAAGCTTGTCTTTCCAGATCTATTTACACATTCTTCCCTTCCGTACACATCTCATTCCAACCATATTGGCTGACGTATTATTGTCTCCTATATATGACATTCCATCTCTCACCTTAATGTCTTTGCCCGTGCCTGAGATTTGTGTCGTCCTTGCCAACCCTTAGAATAACCTTAGCTTTTTCCCAGTTGCTGCTTAGGTTCTGCCACATAACTACAGAAAGCCTTTTTTCTTATGCTCCTGGTTGTTAATGTTGAGCCCTCTCCCGCAGTTGTATCGTATTTCTTTATCCTTTTAAATGTTATATTCCCCCAGACTATCATAAGCTCTTTGAGGGCAGATTCTATTTTTGGTTCATGTTTGTATCTCATGAGCTGAGTGTGGTGCCTCGCACAGAGTAGGTACTTTTAAAATGTTTACTGAATTAGGTTGAATGAGAAAACTTTCTAACAATGAGGGATGTTCAAAAGTAGAGTGGGCTGAAGAGATGACAGGTCCCCATCATGGAAGGTATTTGAAAAGAGGCTGTATGTTTGCTTGTTGGGATCCATTGTTGCCCCAAGAAGGGATTCTTGGTCAGATATGTGATGTACTCTGAGGCAGTTAGATAGCACAGTGGATAGAGTACAGGGCCTGCCTGGACTCAGAAAGATTAATCTTCCAAAGTTCAAATCTAGCTGCAGACACTTATATGACCCTTGACAAGTCACTTCACCCTGTTTGCCTCAATTTCCTCATCTGAAAAGGAAATGGCCAACCATTCCAGCCAGTTATTTTTGACCAGAAAACCCGAAATGGCATCACCAAGAGTCAGACATGACTGATAAACCACTGAACAAATGGTCTTAGGTGTCTTCCAACTTTGAGACTCTAAGCCTGACTCAAACTGGAGGGTCTCGAGGCCCATAGTTATTCTCCCTTTGTTCCCCCACAGGTGTCTGAGAACATATGAAGTTGAATTCTCCCAACATGGATATATTTACAGAGGGATCAACAGGAAGGAGTCAACTTTCAACCTTTTTGTCTTTGCTCCAGGTAAGGGCCCAAAGCCCTGGGATGCTTACTTCTCCTTCCCCTCACACCATCTGCAGCCCAACCTTGTTATCCCTTCCCAGGCTGTTCCCTTTGGCCTCCCCTCCTTTCTCCCAAGACTTCTCACCCCCACCCCTAGCCTCTCTTTCCCTGAGATTTTCACAGCCATAGCGTCAAACTCCTTTCATTCCTATACAGACGATGCCAATGTCACTGGCTTCTACCGGCTCCGTGCTGTGGATTACTGGGGCCGCCCAGGCCTGTTCTCCATCCCTGTTTACTACAAAGAGGCAGCTGCATGAGGTGGGCAATGATCTAGTGAGACAACCCTCCAGTGGAGACCTGCATAGGCTGGGGATCCTGGGATTGATGCTCCTTGAAGGGAGATACCCATGGTGCCAAGGACTTAAAGTGAACCTAAATTCAGAGGACCCAGGCTAGAGTGCTAGCTTTAATCCTTTACAGCTGTGTGAGCTTGGGCACATCTCCTTAGGCTTCAGTTTTCTCATCTATAAAGTAGGGACAATAATATTTTCACAACTGGCCTCATGAAGTAGTTTTCAGGAAAGGGCTTTGTCAATCTCACAATTAATATTCTATCAGCCATTCAGTAGAGATGCTCTTGGGGCCAGGCCTGTGACGGTGGTCCCTCCACACTGTAGGGCTAACACAGCAGTACCAGACCTGGCCTCCCTGCTCTTTTCTTCCTTGAGGGTCTGATGGAAAGACATCCAGAAACTTGCTTCCTAGCAATCATCGTAATAATCATTATCATCAGAACTTCTGTTTCTGTGGCCCTGTAACATTGGCAAAACACTTTCCCTATAACAGTCATAAGAGGTGGGTGGTACGAGGATTATTATATTGATTTACAGATGAGGGAACTGAAGCCAAGAGATGAGGGGCTTTGTCCAAGGTAAAGGGCCTCAGTGAGCGTCACAGCCAGGATTTGAACCCTTTTGGGGAATGACTGGAGTGGACAAACTGTGGTATGTGAAAGTAAAGGAAGATTCATCTTCCACTACATGGATGGATATAAAGAATTCTAGAGAAATGTGAAACAACTTGTATGAACCCATGCAGAGCAAAGTAGGCAGAATCAGGGGAGCACTCTACCCAATGACTACAAAAATATGAAGGAAAATGGCATTGAAGAGCAGTTCAGGTCTGATTAATTGCATTAATCAAAGTTGGTCTTGGAGAACTGATGATGAATGCTCCTCCCTCCTCTTGGCACTGTGCATGGGGGACCTTGTATGTAGGCTGTGCTGCTTGGCTTTGTCATAAGGGGAGATTCAATAAGGGGGGCATTTAAGGGGAAATGACTGGTGTAAACATAAAAGGGAACAATATAACTTTGAAAACTTGTTTTTAAAAGCAGGGTTGTGTGAGTATACACAGGAGAGGTAAGAAGCAGTCAGATGAGAAAACAGGAACACATGTGGACATCTATGTTGTCCAAACCCCAGGAATCACAGCTGAGCCCTGATGCTTTCAGAGCCTAGGCAAGAGACTTCGATATTCTTCAATCTGGGGTCAGCTAGATGACGAGTGGATAGAGCACCGACCCTGGAGTCAAGAGAACCTGAGTTCAAATCCGGCCTTGGACACCTACTAGCTGTTCGACCCTGGGCAAGGCACTTCACCTCAATTGTCTCTTAAAAAAAAATATCCTTCAACCTGCCCCCCAGAAATTCCCAGGAAGACTTCTAGAGGACAGCACCATAACCTAAACATTTACCGTAAGGGTGGTGTTCTTAAAATTACTATGTCCCTTGGGAATGAAAGGGGATTAAAGAGGAATTAGACTGTAATTCCTCTGGAGATATGGGAGATTGCACTCATTTTGTGTGAGTACAGAGAATGCTCTTACTGATTGATTCCCATCATCATTATTTATATTGTTTCATGTCTTGATTAAATGCTTTTACTATATTTATGTCTTTTGTATAACCTGGCAATAGAGAATAGGTTGGATGGGGGCTCAGGCTGTGAATAGTGTGACTGAATACCCCAAATAGCCAAATAACCTGGGCAATAGCAAGGGATGCTATGATTCATATTCTAGTATGTTTATGTCTTATCCCACTACTAGACTGTGACCTCTATGAGGTCAGGGACCATGTGCCATCTAAACTTTATTATTGTCTTGCCAGATTTAGTCAGAGGGATAGGTTGGTCATAGCCTTTCAACTGGAAAATATTGTGCCCTTATTTTATAGATGAGAAAACTAAAGCTTCCAAAGGAAAAGTGACTTGGCCGTGGCCATGTCTTCTGACTTCCAATCCAAGGCTCTTTCTACTCCATCACGCTGATAAAGCAATGATGATAGAGATAACCAGTTCTGACTGCATTAGCTATTATTACTTCAGGTTACTTTCTTCATCTGTTTCCTGATCTTATTAAAGTAAGTGTGTGTGTGTGTGTGTGTGTGTGTGTGTGTGTGTGTGTGTGTGTGTGTGTGTGTGTGCAAGTATATCATCTGGGGATCAGGGCACATAGCCCTATTGTTCTGAAGTGTATCCTTTGCTATCCCTGGAGAAGCCCCTCTTTTAATATCTGAACCAATCTGATGATTCCCCAATTGCTCTGTTTCCATACTGTTGGGAAGACTGACGAGACAGAGTGGAGTGTACCTAGTCCCTAGTTTGAAAGGGAAGAATTGGGGAGATAGTGGGACAGAAGGAGGTAATGTCAAGAGCCCTGGGCGCAGAAGACCTGGGTTAAGTTTCAACTCTGACATTAACTTGCTGTGCAATTGGGGGTAAGTCCTTTTCTCTCTCTGATCCTCAGTTTCATCAACTCTAAAATGGGGAGAGGGGTTAGACTAAATGACCTCTAAGCATCTCTCACCTCTGACCCTGAGTATCTGTCTGTGTGCCCATGCTGACAGGATAAGGGAGAATGTCTGATGGAAGCAGCAAGAAGAATACCCTTCCCATGTAGATGAAGGTACCTAGGGGGAAATGCCCAAGACAGGAGGTTTTGAGCCTCGTAGAGGTGACTGAGCTATGGTCATGAGAAGGCAGCAGCTGCTGCCAGCAGCTCTAGTGAGGGTAGCAGCCTCTATCCTACCCTGAGGCATCCTATAGCAACAGAGAAAAGCAGAGAGGGCCTGAATCTTTGGGCCAGTGTTCTCTAAACTGGGCCTTCTGTCGGTCCTATGTTGGCCATTTGCAGGAGAAAGAGCAGCCAGTAAGGCTTTCTGGGTGGTTTTCCTTTTATGTCTGTTGCTCTGATGCCCTTGTGCTGTGAGTCTGTTATTCTAATGTCACACTTGTGCTGTGAATTACCCAAGGTCTTGTATGCAGAGAACACTTGAAGCCCTGGGCAGAATGAGGATGTCCCAAGGTCAGTGACAGCTGAACCCTAACGGCCCCTTTGGGGCCCATTCCTGTTTTCTTGGGTGTGCTTGGGTCAGAGCTCAAAAGACCTTGATGGAGGGAGTGGGATGGGGGAGAGAAATACCTGCTGCAGAGAGTGGAGGGCTCATGATGGTGGGATATTGGGGAGAAATGTCTTTGCTGGGATGAGGAGGGCAGACCCAGGGCTGAGAGGTTGACCTTGGAGGAGAGAGGCCCCTAACACCAAGATGAAAGGAAAAGGTCTTCATGGGCAGGGACACACACACACACAGACACACACACAGACACAGACACAGACACACACACAGACATGGACACACACACAGACACACACACAGACACACACACAGACACACACACAGACACACACATACAGACACACACACAGATACACACACACAGACACACACACACAGACACACACACAGACACACACAGATACACACACACAGACACACACACACAGACACACACACAGACACAGACACAGACACACACACACACACACACACACACACACACACACATACCCATCAAAGGAACACCAGGAACAGGCTGAGCTTCTCCCTTCTTCACTCAGCCCTGGCCTGGCCTCTGTCCTTTCTCAGCTGGGGGAGCTGGGGAAGGAGGAGTGACAGACAAAGGCCTAGAGGCCAAGAAGCCAGCTCTCTTCATAAAACTTCTTTCGCCCTGCTCATCTCCCAGGAAGCCTGATGCCGATCTGCATTTATGTGGGTGTTCGGCCCCCTCTCTGTCTTTTCAGAAATCGTCAGGCTGTTTCTACATGCATTCATAACTCCAAGGGTAAACAGGAAAATGGAAATTTAATGTGCTTAGAGACCCCAGCACAAGGTATCTCTGGTGGCGACCAAGCTGCAGTGCAGTCCTCAGCAAGCTCCTGTGGAGGAGGGGCAGGGGGAGAGGGAGAGAAAGAGAGAGAGAGAGAGAGAGAGAGAGAGAGAGAGAGAGAGAGAGAGAGAGAGACAGAGAGAGAGAGACAGAGAGAGAGACAGAGAGAGAGAGACAGAGAGAGAGAGAGACAGAGAGAGAGAAGAGAGAGAGAGACAGAGAGAGAGAGAGAGACAGAGAGAGAGAGAGAGAGAACAGTGAGAAATGGCAGAATCGACTGTTCTGAGCACAGTGACATGGGCAGCCCAGCTGAGACTCTCCACTCTGTGTGGGGAGCGTGCAGTGTGTGCCTGGCTGAGCTGTGTTTTCATCACGTTTGTGTTGAAACGTCTGCAGTGACTCCATAGTAGATGTTACAGATCTTTCCTTTATAGGCACCTGTGCTGTGAGGAGCAGGCTTTCCATCCTCTCCCTTCCAGATGTTTTCAGCAAACAGCTCCAAGTATCTTGAATAACCTAGTCCGGCGGGCCAAGGAGAATATGCGGGTGCTACCCAAGGCTCAGTGGGAGGTGCTGACACCAGCAGGAGATAAGCTGCCTAAATGCTAGGGGAGGAGGAGGTTGGCAGCAGTGACTCATACTAAGCCACTATGGGATTTGCGTGGTACAAGAAGGGATTCCTATGGCCCTCCACCCCCACTTCCCCAAATCCCAGCTTGTTCTTGAGGACTATGTACAAAAGACTTACAAAACAATGCGAGTGAGCGTGGGAGTTTTAAACCACTCTTGGAGGCTTGTTCCTCTATGGGTCAGGCTAGGAAGCTGGTCCCAGATAAGGGGATTGGAGGGGGTGGGGGACACGCAGATGCTCTGAGAGAACCAAACTGCAGAGAGCAAGTGAGGTAAGAGCTAGGCGACAGAAAGCAGAGGGCGACAGCACCAGCAACGCGGCCCCAAAACCTGAGGACAGTGATCAGGGGTGGGAGCAGAGGAGAATTGTCAGAGTGAGAGCCGAGCAACAGGAAGCAATCTGGAGAGATGGCTGCCATCTGCTCAGAGCCTAGGGCAGCCGTGGCTGCAGCAGAGGAGGACCGCAAACAGAAGCGCCAGGGATGCTGCATGCGGGCATCCAAAAGGAGGCAAGAGGAGCCTTAAAGGGGAGAAACAAGTCCTGAGCATCGGACCAGAGCCCTCCCCAGGGCTAGACTGTGAATCCTGACATTAGTCAGCTCTCTGCCGAATGATGGCTCACTGCAGGCATTATTAACGTCTTGGGGAGGTGGATGTGAATTCGATAGGTCTCTGTTAAATTCTAAATAAGACTGTTCATGCATGCTTGGTGCCCTGTAGACCTATTCCCTTGCAAGGGGAGCCTGTGGCTCTTTGGATGGGTCAACAAGTCAGACACAAAAAAGCATGCAACCTACCTAGTTAAACCTTCTCATTTTGCAGATGAGGAAAGTGAGGAGGCCCTTAGAGCTTATGTGACTTTCCCAAGACCACACAATAAATAGCAGAGCCAGAATTTGAACCTAGGTTGCCTGGCATCCAAATCCACCACTAAATCTACTATAAACAGCCAGCTACAATACTCCCAAGTACAGCCTGAACAAGCACATAGTAAATGAAGATGAACTATAATATAGATAATGTTAATATAAATTATATTATAAATATAAATTAAAATACAAAATAGATCATGTAACATCAGCATAATATAAGGCAGTCTGTAGGAATCCTTATATACAGCTTAGTGACACCATTTCTATTTGAGTCTGATATCACTGTACTACTGTACAATACTATATATTAAGGAAGGAAATATACTTTTATTAAGTACCTTCTATGTACCAAGCACTATTCAACCAGAGGTAGGTGCTATTATTTTCATCCCCATTTTATAGCTGAGGAAACTGAGACAGGTAGAGGCTAAGTGCCTTGCCCAGGATCATATAGCTAAGTAAGTATCCATAGCTCACGTTTGAGCTAAGGTCTTCTGACTCCAGGCCCAGCACTCTGTGCACTATGGCGCCATCTAGCTGCAGCTAAGAGCTTTAAGGTTTATACTCTTCCTCAACACTGAGAAAACTTTCAAATTTTATTTTTAAATTATTTTTTATTAAATATATTATTTAATTAAAATTTTAATTTATTTTAAAATTTTAATTAATTTAAAATTATATAAACATGCTATTTAATAGTTATATAATACACAATAATTTATTATTAATATTAAAATATCAATGTTTGAGGCTCAGAGTCCAAGTTCACATTCCTGTTTTTGTTGCAGTAAAGTTTTGAACCCAGGACTCTTGGTTCAAAAGAAGACGTGGGAAGTGGAAAGTGCCCTCGATTTAGAGTAATTCAGATCCTGGGTTCAGATACAGGCTCTGCCACTTACTGCCTGTGAGACTTGGGGTAGTTACTTCTCCTCTCTGTCCTCAATTTCCCATCTGTGAAATGGGGATGATAATAACCAGCCCTGCTTACCTCCACCCCTTAGAATCCCTGGTTTCCTTCAGGGCCCATCTCCTCCTTGAAGCCTTCTCCAACCCTGCCTCATTCACGTACTCTCCCTTGAATTTAACGATCTGTTTACATGTCTTACTTCTGGAAGGAACATTTTTCATTTTTGTCTCTTTATCCCAAGTACTCAGCACAGTGCCTTATGCATAGTAGGAGCTTATAAGTGCTTGTTGAATTGGATTACTGACATCACAGGCTTAACAGGAGAAAAATGCTTTAAGATTCACAAAATGCTATACAAAGTGGACTTTTTATTTCTATTATGACATGTTGTCTCAACTCAATTTTTTTTGAGGTGAAAGAGTATTATTCTACAGATTGGGAAACTGAGGCCTGGAGAGGGGAAAGTTGTTGTCCAAAGTAATAATAGCAAACATTTATATCGCACTTTGCATATGTTATCTCGATGGATAACCCTGTGAAATAGCTACTATTATGATGTTACTCATTTTACATATGAGACAGGCTGAGAGGGGTGAACTAATTTGTCTAGTCACTTGTGTAATGGATAGAGTACTAGGCCTGGGGTCAGGAAAGCTTATCTTCCCCGAGTTCAAATCTGGCCTCAGACAGTTACTAGCTGTGTGACCCAGGGTAAGTCGCTTAACCCTGTTTGCCTCAGTTTCCTCCTCCATCAAATTAACCAGAAAGGAAATAGCAAACCACTCCAGTATCTTTGCCAATAAAACCCCAAATGGGGTCATAGAGAGTTGGACAGGACTGAAAAACAACCGAACAGCAACACTCGTAAGTATGAAGTGTCTGAGGGTGGATTTGACTCGGGTCTGACTCCTTTGCAGGGCCTAGATTATATAGTGAGTCAGTGACAGAGTGGGGACTAGAACCCAGGTCATGAGGGAAGGGGAATGCAAGTAGAGAAAAGGTTTCCTCTTCCATCTTGCCCTGGCCTCCATGGGGGTCAGCCCTGGGATTCCATTCCACACCGTTAGTTCCTGTCCTCAGTACTGGCGGAGAAATACACACCTGTCTGAAGAACTGGCTTAAACTGGCCAGACAAGCAGATCTCTTCCTGCTTCTGGCGGACAATCCTCTGGATAGCAGGGGGGAGGCCCCGAGGACTTCGGGAGAAGACAATGGAGTAGCCATCGGCACATGTGCCGTCCTCCCTCAAAAGCCGGCAGGCGTAGGTCAGTGCGTAGTGGTTGTAGTCTGTGTCCACCACCCAATAGTCATCCCCTGGACCCAGAAACAAAGGACAGTTACTTATCTGAGACTCGGGCTCGCCCTCTGGGGAGCCTGGAGCAAGGAAAAAGTGGGGGGAGGAGAAGGGGAGGAAGGGGGCGTGGGAAGAACCCAGACCCACATTCGAAGCAGAGAATGGTACAAGCTGGTGAGGCGTAGCCCAAATAAACCGGAGACTGGGAGCCAGGATGCCTAGGTTCTTTCTGGTCCCGGTTATGTCACTAACTCACTGGCTCGGGCAGGTCATTTGTAGTGAAGTCTGAAGAGGAGCAGCTCCCAAAGGCAGGTGAGAAGCCCAGGATGCGCCCCGGAGGGGGAGGAGGGGGAAGGGGGCAGAGGAAGGGGACACTAATGCGGCCTCATAACATCAGCCTTGCAGAGCTCAGGTCTGACCACGACACCTCCCCGCTCAACGAATTTCAGTTACTCGCTGTTGCCTCGAGAATAAAATAAAGATCCCTGTCTCTTTGGCGTTTAAAGCACTTCACAAATTGGCTCCAGCTTGCCTTTTCACATTGCTGTATTTCATATCCTAGCCCAAATGGCTGACTTGCTGGCCCTTACACATGGTATTTAATCTCCTACCTCAGTGCCTTTTCTCAGGCTGTCCTGAATGTGTGGAACTCTCCTCTCCCCTCTCCTCAATGTCCCTTCTCCCTCCTCCCTTCTCTCCCATTCCCCCTCTTCCCCACATCGCTTCTCCCTTACTCTCCTTCTCCCCCTACTTCCCTTTCCCCCACTCTCCCTCTCCCCCTCTCCTCCTCTCCCCCAACCTTCCCTCTCCCCCTCTTCCTGTCTTCCCCTCTCCCCCATTCTCCCTCTCTTCCCCTCTCCCTAATTTCCCCCTCCCCCTATTCCCCACTTCCCGTTTCCCCCACTCTTCCTCTCCCTACATGTCTTAGAATCCCTAGCTTCCTTCAAGGTTAAGGTTAAACCTAAGTACCACTTCCTACATTAAATATTTCCTGGTCCACTAGTTACAATTATCCTCCTCTTCCCCAAATACTTTTGTATTTACTTTGTGTGAGGATTACTCTCTTATAGAAGTCATTCCCCAGCCCCATCCCAGTACAATATAAACTCCCTGAGGGCAGGCTTTTTTATTTTTCATCTTCCTATCCCAAGTACCCAGTAGAAGGCACATAACAGGGGCTTAATATTTAAATGCTCATAGAATGAATGAGTGAATGACATTCCTTTTTCCCATAGTGATCATGCTAACACATCGGTGCAAGGGTCAGAGACCCCTTCTGTATCTTTGGCAAGATTGGACTGGGGAGAAGAGGACTGTGTACTAAGTGCCACCTTAAAATTTTGGGGCTCCCTATGATGGGGATCTTGGAGTTTGTTGAGTCTTACTATAGATAGGAATAAAGGATCTCCCTCTTTTCCCCTCTCCAAACACATGCATCAGCACCACAACCTGCACAAGGCAAACAGTCTAGTGACAGGGGTCCTTTTCTAAGGTGGCTTAGCTGGTCCCTGGAAGAGATAGCTGGGCTCAGTGTCACCTTACCACTCCCGAGGTTAAGGAGGGCCCTCAAACTCCACCTACCTCCACTGGACAGGTAGCTGGCCAGCCCCTGGTAGGTCATGTACATCTTTGCCGGGGTGCTTGGGTCAGGGACAGTGTACTGTGCTGCCATGTCTGCACAGATCACCCAGTACCTGGGAAGAGGAGTGGAGATCTTGGGTGAAGTCTACAGCTAGAGCCATGTAGCCAGTCAACCAACAAGCATTGACAGAGGTATCCTTGAATGCTGAGTGAGGAACAGACTAACGAGGAAATGAAGCTTTACCCTCAGGGAGCTCCTAGTCTTGGCAGGGGATGGAAGAGGAGAGAGGAATGGAGATAAGACACAATGTGGACTGCAAGTAATTAAGGATTAATGTATGGGCTTTAGACTCTTAAATGCGTAGGGACTCAAAAAGGGGAATGATCGCTGGGGGCTGGAGTAATCAGAGAAGGCTTCCTGGAGGAAGAAGAGTAGGACTTAACATGATGTGGTGGTGGGGTTTGGTTGGGATTTGTAATTTCATTGGTATATAGAACTCCAGAGCTCTTCAGCTGGTGGTCCTCTTGGGTAAGACCCTGCTAAGCCTCAGTTTTTCTATCTGTAAAGGGAGGGAGTTGGATCAGATGCCTAAGGGCCTTTCTAGACTTAACATTCCATAAGCTATGACATGAGGACTCTTTTAGCTCTGATGTTTTTCTGCTCTGTGTTCTAAGATCCTTCTCAGCTTGATCCTCTGAGCTGTAACACAGAGATGCTTGTACTCACTCAAGGCACTGCAGACAATGACTAGACGACCTTTCTCCCTGCCACAGCATCCCGTAAACTGTAGGGCCTTGGAGACCATCTGGTCCAGTGTCCTCATTTTATACATGAGGAAATTGAGGCTCACGGGTCAAAACTAGAATAATGAGTGCGTGTTATAAAGTAGGAGATTTAGGTTCGATGTAAGGAAAAGCTTCCTGATGCTTGGAGCTGTCCAAAAGTGAAATGGGCTGCCTAGCCCTCACTGGAAGTCTTCAAGCCAAGGTTAGATGACTCCTCCGTGGTGTTGGAAAGGGGATTCTTTCCAGGTCCAGGTTAGACTAATTGGTCTCTGAGGCCCCTAAGATTCTGTGATTCTGTAAGTGATTTACCCAAAATCACTCCATTTCCATTCCCATTCCACACATTTGAGATTTCCAAACTCTCATTTTAGGGCTTTCATTGGGAAAGTTGCTTATGGTCCTGAACTCCTAGGGATATGTGGAGCTGGGAAAGTGTATTTAGAATGTCAGTGCCTGAGTGCCAAAGCCAGAACCCTTGGCCTTCACTCTGTCCTCCTCCTCCCTGCCACTCAGTTACCCAAATAGCTTCACACGCCCCTGGGAGGAGGCTGTCATGGTGCCATCCATTCCAATGGTGTACTCTGCAGAGATGTTGTCCTGAAGGAAGAGGCCTTCGGGATCTTTCTTGGCCAGTGCATACCACTTCCCTGCATACTAGGAAGAGAAGCCAGGCATTAGCAAGGACCAGAGCCATTCCTGTTTGGCCCTAGCTGAGTCTGCCTCCTATTCAGGACTTCTCATTTCATACATGGTGCTGGGGACCCAAACTTTTGTCACCCAATCCCTGCTTTAAAACCAAGCCAGCTCTCACTAATTATTATAAATGATAATAATTAGCAATGTTATAGGGAAAGTAGTTCATATGTTTGCAGATGATGAAACTGCTCAGAAATGTTAGATGGCCGGCAATCATAGGACCCTACATTGACTTCTGGAAGGGAACTTGGAGATCATCCAGTCCAACCTTTCTTTTCATTATGTAGGAAAAGAAACCGAGGCTCAAGAAAGGAAGAGGTTTTGCTGTCTTACAGGACAAACCAGAAAGGAGGCAGGACTTAGATTGCAGGGGTTGGGTGCTATAACATGCCACCCGTCTCCTGACAGAATGATGTCACATACATTTTCAGATGTGGACAATTGGGGGCTTTGTTTCTCGTGATTATTTGTATTTGTTACAAGGGTTTTGTTTTCCTTTTTCCCTTTTCTATTTGGAAGTTGAGGTAGAGGAGGTTAAAAAAAGGCAAGAGAAAAGCAAGAGGGTCATTGAAGCCTCTTGAAAAATAAACAAAAGAGAACAGATGGGATGCCAGAAGGAAACGCAGCTAAGCGGGACAGCTTTGAAAGTTACATATTGCATTTATTATACACTTAACAGGAAAAGTGAGCTACTCGTAATAGATACTGGCAGTCTCATATGAAGTCCTTTTTTTCTGTTCTACTTTGTATGGGGAAATGCTCATTTTATTTGGTGTTTGTTAAGTCTAGAATAACTTTTTAAAAACTGAAAAAAAACCCAACACCCCAGTGTGCAATAGAACAAAGAGGGGTTTTCATTCCTTAAAGGCAGGCGACATAGTTAATTGTCACTTGAAGCCTGGCATAGGGGGAGGGGTTCTGGGTTAAGAGTCGGTGGTAAAGTCTCACTCAGCTCCATCACTGACTGGCTGTGTGATGCTGGGAAAACCCCATTTCCTCTCTAGGCCTCAGTTTCTCCATCTGTAAATTGGGGGGTGTGGAGGAATGGACTTGATAATCTGTTAGGTCTCTTGCAGCTTTGACTTCCTGCATTTCTGAATTGTTCAGGTCCCTCTATCCTTCAGCAGGTCTTCTCAGGAGATCCTAGGGCAGGGGCTCCCTGAGAGTGTCTGGGTAATATAATAATGATAACCACCAGCATTTATGAGCACTCTAAGGTTGGCAAAGCACTTTACAAGTGCTATTTTATTTTTCCTTATAACTACCCTGAGATATAGGTGCTATTATTATCCCCATTTTTTTTGTTTTGTTTGTTTTTGCTAGGGAATGGGGGTTAAGTGACTTGACCAGGGTCACACAGCTAGTAAGTGTTATGTGTCAGGGTCCAGATTTGAACTCAGGTCCTCCTGAATCCAGGGCCGGTGCTCTATCCACTGTGCCACCTAGCTGCCCCCCCCCATTTTTCAAATGGGGAAATAGAGGCAGAAGGAACTTAAGTGACTTGCCCAGGGCCACAGAACTAAGAGGCGTCTGAAGCTGGATTTGAACTTGAGTCTTCCTGACTCTAGTTCCAGGGCTCATCTGCACCACCTAAGTGCTGGTGGGTCTGTTACTGGCTAAGCAAAGGTAGTTCCTGAGCGTGGGAAACGGGGGTGGGGTGGGCAGTGGTGGGGGGGTTTAGGGGGATAGAAGGGGGGAGGCATGTGGGGGCAGCTGGGGTGGGCCTGTAGAGGAACCCCAGAAACCAGAATGCCGCTTACCCTCTTGGGGTCAAAGTCAGCCTTCACAGAGATGGAGTCCACAACACAGGTCTGGGCCAGGCCAAAGCTGGGCAGTGCCAGCAGCAGGCAGATATGCCAAATGGATCTCATCCTGCACATGGGGTCTTAGGGAAAACAGAGCCGGCTGAATGATTTGGTAACAGTAACTATAAACAGCGCTTCAAAGTTTATAAACATATCTTCTCCAAACAACCCTGCAGAGTGGGTGGGGCCAGTATTATTCATCCCCATTTTATTTATTTTATTTTATTTTTTGTTTATTTATTAGGCAGTTGGGGTTAAGTGACTTGCCCAGGGTCACGCAGCTGAGGCCGGATTTGAACTCCTGACTTCAGGGCCGGTGCTCTATCCACTGCACCACCTAGCTGCCCCTACTCATCCCATTTTAGAGAGGTAGACAATGAGGTTCCAAAAGGAAAGTGACTTGCTTCCAACCGAGGGACAGTAGTAAATGTCAGAGCCAGGATCTGAATCTTGAATTCTGGGCACATGACAGAGAAGACGGAGGGCTAGACATTTTCTCTGATCCTCTCAAACCTCTCCGAAACAGAAATGATCCACTTGCAGATAAAGCCACTTCAGCTGCCACCCTGATCTGGGAAAGTGGTGGCGGAAAAAACCATTCATAAGGATCCCTGGGAGCAGCATGTTGACTTAGAAAAGTATTAACACAATTATTAGAATTAATAAATAATTAAATTAATAACAGAAATGATTCATGTTGACATAATGGTGCTAATGTTAATATATTAACATATTTACATTATCTAGGTGCTATTGTATTTTTATTTATTTTGTTAAATATTTCCCAGGGACATTTTAATCTGGTTCAGGCCAGTTGCCGCTGCAACACTACCTTTGAGCACATATTAACATTTCTGGTCTAGAACATCCAGAATCCAAAAAATGATAAAAACAAAGAAACAAGCAAACAAAAAACCCAGATCTGTGAACGGACGCCCACCCTGAGCTCCCTTGGTATCCCTCACCCACCTCTCACTCTACCAGCATAAAGGCCATCGTAGGCGTTACCACCAAACCCAACCTCCATCCTCTCTCCTCTCCCAGCTCCACTCCAGCCATGACAGCCGGTCAGTGGTGCAGCAATGTTCCAGGACATGAAAACCTACTGTGTTCTGGGCTGCAAATGATTTGTGCAGGATAGCGGAGAAACGGAGAGACGGGCAGGATGTGTGTCTGGATTTAAACTAGATGCCAACTCTACATCTCCTTGGCAAGCATACCCAAGGGTTTTGTTTGGGGGGTTTGTTTTGTTTTGTTTCATTTCATTTTTCTCAGTGGGGAAAGGTGGGTGGGATCAAGAGAAAATGGATTTTTCTTCGTCGAACAAATTGAATTGAGTATCCTAACCCTTAGGAAGCCTGGTTTAGCAGGACCAAAGAGGACCTGGAGGGGAGTAAATAAGGCTGGACAGGTAGGTTGGGAAGGGCTTTAAGGGCCAAAACAGAGAGATTTGTGTTTGAGCCTAGAGGTAATAGAGAGCCACTGGGGTTCATTGAGTGTAAAAGTGACCTGGTCTACTGGAACTGGGCAGTTCCCTCAGTCTCTCTGGGACATTTTCCCATCTTTAAGCTCACTTCTAGCTCTGAATCCCCCAATCCCATATCTTCACTGCAAATCGTGTCCTTTTCACAGTGCTGGGCTGCAACCCCTGGCAGCAAAGGGAGAGGGGAAAGAGGAAGGGAGCAAGCATTTATTAAGTATCTGCTGTGTGCCAAGTTTTCACAAAAATGACCATTTGAGAGGATACTTCCTCCCCTGTGCCTGGATTCAGACAGACAGTACTTCCCTCCACCTCAATCCCTGGAAAAATGAAGTGAGATATCCCCAACCAGTAATTCTCCCACCCCCTTTCCAAAAGGAGGCTTTCCTTCCTCTCAACCCTCCACAGCCTCTCATTCTTAACTGGGAGAATCGACCTCCCTTTCCTTTGGGCTTTCCATGCCTGGGAAACCAGAAGCGGCAGGGTCTCTATCTCTGATACTAGTAACCCAAGCTCAGCTCCCTCTGACTTCCCAAAACTACTCTAATCTTCTATCTGGTCTCCCTGATAGGCAGCCATCCAGCCAGTGCTTAGAGGTCTCTAGTGATGGGGAGTTTACCATCTCCTGAGTGCGCCCATCCCCCGGCCAAGCAGCTCTCACTATTATGACATTTTGCCTTTTGTCTGACCTAAACCCGAATTTCTTCAACTCTTATCCCTTCTAGTCCCATCATCATGGGTTCTATGCTCTTTAAGAAGATCTCAGATTCAATGGGTCTGTCATCCTTGGGCTGAGGCCCTCCTTACCTGGTGCTGGTGTGTCTTGGCTTCAAACTCCAGGACTTATCTCACTCTCCCTGACCTTTCAGCCCTTTAAATACTGTGAAGCGGCCAGTCACACTAATCGCCCTATTCCCCCTTGGGCCTCAGTCGGACAATCCAAGGTAATCTAATTTTAGGTCGGATTAATAGAGGTATAATGTTTAGAACAAAGAAGAGGACAGTCCCATCATCCTCTGCCTTGATCAGACAAAAAAAAAAAAGAATCTCAGTCTGCCCTCTGAGCCTATCAGCTGTCTCTCAGGAGATGGGTGCATGTTTCACCATGGCTCTTCTGGAATCACGGTTGGTCATCATGTTGATCAGAGTTCTTAAGTCTTTTAAAGTCTTTTATCTTTACAACATTGTTCTTCTGGATCTGTTTACTTTACTCTGCATCAGTTCATACAAGTCTTCCACCCCTTTATCATTTCTTACAACACAAAGCGTTCTGTTGAATTTGCGCACCATAATTTGTTCCAGCCGTTCCCCAGTTGACAGGTGGGGGCACAGTTTAAGAAAACAGTTTTGTCAAACAACTTTGAAAGACTTAAAAACTCCAACCAACCGTAATCCCAGAAGATGGATGATAAAGAATTATACCCACTTGTTGATAGACATGTGATAGATTCAGATGCAGAATGAAATATATGTTTTTTTGGACAGGGTCAATAGGAGAATTGGTTTTACTCGACCGTGAATATTTGTCACAGCTTTCTCTTTCTCTCTCTCTCTCTCTCTCTCTCTCTCTCTCTCTCTCTCCTCTCTCTCTCTCTCTCTCTCTCTCTCTCTCTTTCTCTCTTTCTTTCTATCTGTCTTTCTTTGTCTTTCTTTATCCCTTCCTTCCTTCCTTCCTTCCTTCCTTCCTTCCTTCCTCTCCTTCCTTCCTTTCTCTCCTCTCCTTCCCTCCTCCTCCCTCTCCTCTCTCTCCCTTCCTTCCTTCTTCCTTCCTTCCTTCCTTCCTTCCTTCCTTCCTTCCTTCCTTCCTTCCTTCCTTCCTTCCTCTTCCTTCCTTCCTTCCTTCCTTCCTTCCTTCCTTTCTTTTTCATGGGGAAGAGATGGAAGAGAGAGAAAATAGATTTTTGTTAATTAAAAAATAATTTTAAAAAGAGTCTTGGGAATCCGAAGTACCTACTAGCAGGATTTATCTCTTTGCCATCAGTTGCTTTGAGGTGCTAATCGGCCCTAAAGCCATCAGTTAAGTAAGATGACATAAATGCCACTCCCTTCCCAACTGAAAACAGATGGTTATCTACTAATGGTAAAGCAATTAATGGCACTTTATTAGTTTTCTCACCCCTTTCACATCTTTAACAAGGTCAGGAGGACAAACAAAAGAAAAAAATAGAAACCAAAAATCCCCAGATTTTGGCTTTTTGGGAAAATTGGAAAATTTCCAACCAAATTAGAAATTATTTCTTAGTTCTGTTGAGCAGCAAGGACAAAACTCCTTCTCAACTTACAGGTGGCTGTGAAGTTTCTATTTTTTCACTGTTCTCCCTACTCCCCACTGAGAGGCAGGATAGTGTGGGAGAGAGAGGGCTGCACTGGAAGAGGGAGTCCAGGGGACCTGGGTCTGGCTTTAATATCTATTGTGTGATCTATGCAAAATTTCACCTCTCTGGGCCTCAATTTCCATCCTTCTAAAATGGGTACAATGATCCTTCTCCTACCTACTCCACGTGGACGTTATTAGGAAAGTTCTCTAAGTGGTAAAGGGATCTGTCTAAGGGCTGTAGAGGTGGCAGGACCTTAGAGACCATCTCCTCCAGTGCCTCCATTTTACAGATGAGGTAACTGAGGCCAAAATACTATAGGTAGTGAGCAGCCAAGCTACCTAAGATTCCTGAAATTTAGTATGCTTTATACTATGTGGTTTGGTCAAGTAGAAAGAGTGTTGGATTTGGGGTCAAAGAACCTGGGTTCAGACCTCTGCCACTTACTCCTTGTGTGATATTAGACAGATCACTTGATCTCTCTGGGCATCAGTTTCCCCAAATACAAAATGAGGCAGTTGAACTAGATGGCTTCTAAGGTCTTCTCCTGCTCTAAATCCACGATCCTATAAGGAGGAGGATAAGCCTTTGCATAGCACTTGTTATGTGCCAAGCACTGTGCTAAGCAGCTGCTCCTCATAACAACCCTGTGAGGTGGGTACTATTACTAGCCCATTTTACAGTTGTGAAAGGCAGCTAGGTGGCACCATAGTGCATAGAGTATCAGGCCTGAAGTAAGAAAGACTCATCTTCCTGAGTTCAAATCTGGCCTCAGATACTTGCCAGCTGTGTGACCCTGAGCAAGTCACTAAACTTTCAATTGCCTCAGTTTCCTCACCTGTAAAATGAGCTGGGGAAGAAAATGGCAAACCACTCCAGTATCTTTGCTGAGAAAACCCAAAATGGCATCACAAAGAGTTGGACAGGACTGAAACAAACAAACAAAAACCAGGGGGCAGCTAGGTGGGTAATGAATAGAGCACTGGCCCTGGAGTCAGGAGGACCTGAGAAAACTGCCTAGGGCAGGAGTGGGGAATCTGCAGCTTCAAGGCCACATGTGGTCTTCTAGGTCCTTGGATGTGACTTTTGACTGAGTCCAAGTCTTACACACCAAATCCTTTTATTAAGGAGACTTGTTCTGTGAAGTCTGGATTCAGTCAAAAGACCACTGATGCCCTTGAGGACCTAGAGGTCCATATGTGGCCTCCAGGCCTCAGCTTCCCCACCCCTGCCCTAGAGTCACCCAGATAATGAGTGCCTGAGACTCGATCTGAACTCGGGTCTTCCTGATTCCAGGCCCAGGCTCTGTGTACTGCTCCACCTAGCTCCTGTCTCATATCGTGCCGCTATTGGTATTATTCCTGATGTGGAGGGCTTTATGTAATCCTGAGGAACTTTAC